AATACAGGCTCGTCTTTCATCTCACAGCATGAAGGGATGTCTGAAGCCCCTGTGTAGACCTTAGAGAAAGCTCTAGCTCCCTGCCTCATTTTGACGGAATGCCTCACATCCCGTTGACACTTCAAGAGGCACGCAGAGCTCACTGCTTCAAAAGCGGATGATGCCTGACTCGTCTTGAATATTGATAGGAATCCCAAAATCACTGTGGCTACTGGAAATGGTCCTTGGGTGCCCTGCCTCACCTCGAGAAGCATACCTTTTGACCTGCCAAGCCTCGAAGAGATTCCTGAGGTGTCCCTCGTTACTAGACAGGAGTCCTGACGGCACTGAATAAACACGTGTTTTGAAGGGCCATCCCCGCCGTAACTCGAGAAGATACCCCAGGTCCCCAGCGCAACTTGAGAGAAACCATGAGACTTCCCCCTAGATGCGAGATGAGTCCTGATTCCCTGCAGTGCATGCAGAGTATTCCCGTGATCCCCATCAAACAAGTCAGGAGCTTCGACTTGCTTAATGGATCTCGAGACAGTCCCCAAGAACACTGTCACAAGTCTAGACGGACCCTGAGGTCCCCCCAGCAACGCAAAGCAGCTCCATGTGCCCCAAATCAACCCGAGATGTGGCCCGATTCCCCTGCATTGACCCCAGAGCCATCCCCAGTTCCCCATTAAACAAGACCACTGGATTGACTTCCTTCAGGCAACTCCAGAGATGCCCCGAGAACACTGTCCCAAGACTAGAGGAACACCAACTTCAGCACAGCAACTCGAGGAATGCTCCGTATACCACGAATCATCTCGAGATGAGAGCTGAATCCCTGGCTTAGGCTCAAGACGTATGCCAACTTTCCAGAAGCACCTCAAGAGGAGGCTTCTCTCAGCAATAGGTATGTTCGTGGGACCCCGAGTTTGCTGCCTCAAGTGGAATATACAGCGAGAAGCCCTAACTTGAAAGGAGGCCGGATTTCCTTGCAGTGGCTTGAATACAGGCTCGTCTTTCATCTCACAGCATGAAGGGATGTCTGAATCCCCTGAGGAGACCTTAGAGAAAGCCCTAGGTCCCTGCCTCATTTTGACAGAATGCCTCACATCCCGTTGTCACCTCGAGAGGCACGCGGAGTTCACTGCTTCAAAAGTTGACGATGCCTGACTCCTCTTGAATATTGATAGGAATCCCCAAATCCCTGTGGCTATTGGAAAGGTTCCTTGGGTGCCCTGCCTCACCTCGATGAGCGTCCCTTGTGCCCTGCCAAGCCTCGAAGGGATTCCTGAGCTGTCCCTCGTTACTGGACAGGAGTCCTGACGTCACTGAATAAACACGAGTTTTGAAGGTCCATCCCCGCCATAACCCGAGTACATACCCCAGGTCCCCGCCGCAAGTCGAGAAAAACCATGATACTTTCCCCTAGAGGCGAGATGAGGCCCGATTCTCCTGCAGTGCATGCAGAGCAATTCCGTGATCCCCATCAAACAAGTCAGGACTTTCGACTTGCTTAATGGATCTCGAGACAGTCCCCAAGAATACTGTCACATGTCTAGACGGATCCTGAGGTCACCCCATCAACGCAAAGCAGCACAATGTGCCCCAAATCAACTCGGGATGATGCCAGATTCCCGTGCTTTGACTCCAGAGCCATCCCCTCGTTCCCCATTAAACACGACCAGTGGCTTGACTTCCTTCAGGCAACTCCAGAGATGCCCCGAGAACACTGTCCCAAGTCTAGATTAACACCAACGTCAGCACAGCAACTCGAGGTATGCTCCATGTACCCCAAATCGTCTCGAGATGAGAGCTGATTCCCTGGTTTAGGCTCAAGACGTATGCCAAGTTTCCAGAAGCACCTCAAGGGGAGGCTTCTCTCAGCAACAGGTATGTTGGAGGGACCCCCAGTGTGCTGCCTCAAGTGGAATATACAGCGAGAAGCCCTAACTTGAAAGGAGGCCGGATTTCCTTGCAGTGTCTTGAATACAGGCTCGTCTTTCATCTCACAACCGGAAGGGAGGTCTGAATCCCCTGTGGAGACCTTAGAGAAAGCCCTAGGTCCCTGCCTCATTTTGACGGAATGCCTCACATCCCGTTAACATCTCGAGAGGCACACGGAGTTCACTGCTTCAAAATGGGACGATGCCTGACTCTTCCTGTACATTGATAGGAATCCCCAAATCACTGTAGCTACAGGAAAGGGTTCTTGGGTGCCCTGTGTCACTTCGAGAAGCATCCCTTTTGCCCTGCCAAACCTCTAAGAAATTCCTGAGGTGTCTCTCGTTACTAGACAGGAGTCCTGACGTCACTGAATAAACACGTGTTTTGAAGGGCCATCCCCGCCATAACTCGAGAACATACCTCAGGTCCCGCCGCAATTCGACCAAAACGATGAGACTTCCCCTAGATGCGAGATGAGGTCTGATTCCCTGCAGTCCATGCAGAGCAGTCCCGTGATCCCCATCAAGCAAGTCAGGAGCTTCGACTTGCTTAATGGATCTCGAGAGAGTCCCCAGGAACACTGTCACAAGTCTAGACAGACACTGAGGTCACCCCAGCAATGCAAAGCAGCTCCAAGTGCCCCACATCAACTCGAGATGAGGCCCGATTCCCCTGCATTGACTCCAGAGCCATCCCCCGTACCCCATTAAACACCACCAGTGGCTTGACTTCCTTCAGGCAACTCCAGAGATGCCCCGAGAACACTATCCCAAGTCTAGAGGAACACCAACTTCAGCACAGCCACTCGAGGAATGCTCCGTGTACCCCAAATCGTTTCGAGGTGAGAGGTGATTCCCTGGCTTAGGCTCAAGACGTATGCCAACTTTCCAGAAGCACCTCAAGAGGAGGCTTCTCTCAGCAATCGTTATGTGGGAGGGACCCCGAGTTTGCTGCCTCAAGTGGAATATACAGCGAGAAGCCCTAACTTGAAAGGAGGCCGGATTTCCTTGCAGTGTCTTGAATACAGGCTCGTCTTTCATCTCACAACAGGAAGGGATGTCTGAATCCCCTGTGGAGACCTTAGAGAAAGCCCTAGGTCCCTGCCTCATTTTGACGTAATGTCTCACATCCCGTTGACAACTCGAGAGGCACCCGGAGTTCACTGCTTCAAAAGGTGACGATGCCTGACTACTCTTGAATATTGACAGGAATCCAAAATCCTTGTGGCTATTGGAAAGGTTCCTTCGGTGCCCTGCCTCACCTCGAGAACCGTCCCTTGTGCCCTGCCAAGCCTCGAAGAGATTCCTGAGCTGTCCCTCGTTACTGGACAAGAGTCCTGACGTCACTGAATAAACACGAGTTTTGAAGGGCCATCCCCGTCGTAACCCGAGTACATACCCCAGGTCCCCGCCGCAAGTCGAGAAAACCATGAAACTTTCCCCTAGAGGCGAGATGAGGCCCGATTCTCCTGCAGTGCATGCAGAGCAATTCCGTGATCCCCATCAAACAAGTCAGGACCTTCGATTTGCCTAATGGATCTCGAGACAGTCCCCAAGAATACTGTCACATGTCTAGACGGATCCTGAGGTCACCCCATCAAAGCAAAGCAGTACAATGTGCCCCAAATCAACTTGGGATGATGCCAGATTCCCCTGCATTGACTCCAGAGCCATCCCCCGTTCCCCATTAAACACGACCAGTGGCTTGACTTCCTTCAGGCAACTCGAGAGATGCCCCGAGAACACTGTCCCAAGTCTAGAGGAACAGCAACTTCAGCACAGCAACTCGAGGAATGGTCCGTGTACCACAAATCATCTCGAGATGAGAGCTGATTCCCTGGCTTATGCTCAAGACGTATGCCAAGTTTCCAGAAGCACCTCAAGGGGAGGCTTCTCTCAGCAATAGGTATGTTGGAGGGAGCCCCAGTTTGCTGCCTCAAGTGGAATATACAGCGAGAAGCCCTAACTTGAAAGGAGGCCGGATTTCCTTGCAGTGTCTTGAATACAGGCTCGTCTTTAATCTCACAACCGGAAGGGATGTCTGAATCCCCTGTGGAGACCTTAGAGAAAGCCCTAGGTCCCTGCCTCATTTTGACGGAATGCCTCACATCCCGTTGACACCTCGAGAGGCACACGGAGTTCACTGTTTCCAAATGTGACGATGCCTGACTCCTCCTGAACATTGATAGGAATCCCAAAATCACTGTGGCTACAGGAAAGGGTTCTTGGGTGCCCTGCCTCACCTCGAGAAGCATCCCTTTTGCCCTGCCAAGCCTCGAAGAGATTCCTGAGGTGTCTCTCGTTACTAGACAGGAGTCCTGACGTCACTGAATAAACACGTGTTTTGAAGGGCCATCCCCGCCATAACTCGAGAACATACCCCAGGTCCCGCCGCAACTCGAGAAAAACCATGAGACTTCCCCTAGATGCCAGATGAGGTCTGATTCCCTGCAGTCCATGCAGAGCATTCCCGTGATCCCCATCAAGCAAGTCAGGAGCTTCGACTTGCTTAATTGAACTCGAGAAAGTCCCCAGGAACACTGTCACAAGTCTAGACAGACCCTGAGGTCACCCCAGCAATGCAAAGCAGCTCCAAGTACCCCACATCAACTCAAGATGAGGCCCGATTCCCATTCATTGACTCCACAGCCATCCCCCGTACCCCATTAAACACCACCAGTGGCTTGACTTCCGTCAGGCAACTCCAGAGATGCACCGAGAACACTGTCCCAAGTCTAGCGGAATACGAACTTCAGCACAGCAACTCGAGGAATGCTCCGTGTACCCCAAATAGTTTCGAGGTGAGAGCTGATTCCATAGTTTAGGCTCAAGACGTATGCCAACTTTCCAGAAGCACCTCAAGAGGAGACTTCTCTCAGCAATAGGTATGTGGGAGGGACCCCGAATTTGCTGCCTCAAGTGGAATATACAGCGAGAAGCCCTAACTTGAAAGGAGGCCGGATTTCCTTGCAGTGGCTTGAATACAGGCTCGTCTTTCATCTCACAGCATGAAGGGATGTCTGAAGCCCCTGTGGAGACCTTAGAGAAAGCTCTAGCTCCCTGCCTCATTTTGACGGAATGCCTCACATCCCGTTGACACTTCGAGAGGCACGCGGAGTTCACTGCTTCAAAAGGTGATGATCCCTCACTCGTCTTGAATATTGATAGGAATCCCAAAATCAATGTGGCTACTGGAAAGGGTCCTTGGGTGCCCTGCCTCACCTCGAGAAGCATCCCTTTTGCCCTGCCAAGCCTCGAAGAGATTCCTGAGGTGTCCCTCGTTACTAGACAGGAGTCCTGACGGCACTGAATAAACACGTGTTTTGAAGGGCCATCCCCGCCGTAACTCGAGAAGATACCCCAGGTCCCCAGCGCAACTTGAGAGAAACCATGAGACTTCCCCCTAGATGCGAGATGAGTCCTGATTCCCTGCAGTGCATGCAGAGTATTCCCGTGATCCCCATCAAACAAGTCAGGAGCTTCGACTTGCTTAATGGATCTCGAGACAGTCCCCAAGAACACTGTCACAAGTCTAGACGGACCCTGAGGTCCCCCCAGCAACGCAAAGCAGCTCCATGTGCCCCAAATCAACCCGAGATGTGGCCCGATTCCCCTGCATTGACCCCAGAGCCATCCCCAGTTCCCCATTAAACAAGACCACTGGATTGACTTCCTTCAGGCAACTCCAGAGATGCCCCGAGAACACTGTCCCAAGACTAGAGGAACACCAACTTCAGCACAGCAACTCGAGGAATGCTCCGTGTACCACGAATCATCTCGAGATGAGAGCTGAATCCCTGGCTTAGGCTCAAGACGTATGCCAACTTTCCAGAAGCACCTCAAGAGGAGGCTTCTCTCAGCAATAGGTATGTTCGTGGGACCCCGAGTTTGCTGCCTCAAGTGGAATATACAGCGAGAAGCCCTAACTTGAAAGGAGGCCGGATTTCCTTGCAGTGGCTTGAATACAGGCTCGTCTTTCATCTCACAGCATGAAGGGATGTCTGAATCCCCTGAGGAGACCTTAGAGAAAGCCCTAGGTCCCTGCCTCATTTTGACAGAATGCCTCACATCCCGTTGTCACCTCGAGAGGCACGCGGAGTTCACTGCTTCAAAAGTTGACGATGCCTGACTCCTCTTGAATATTGATAGGAATCCCCAAATCCCTGTGGCTATTGGAAAGGTTCCTTGGGTGCCCTGCCTCACCTCGATGAGCGTCCCTTGTGCCCTGCCAAGCCTCGAAGAGATTCCTGAGCTGTCCCTCGTTACTGGACAGGAGTCCTGACGTCACTGAATAAACACGAGTTTTGAAGGTCCATCCCCGCCATAACCCGAGTACATACCCCAGGTCCCCGCCGCAAGTCGAGAAAAACCATGAGACTTTCCCCTAGAGGCGAGATGAGGCCCGATTCTCCTGCAGTGCATGCAGAGCAATTCCGTGATCCCCATCAAACAAGTCAGGACTTTCGACTTGCTTAATGGATCTCGAGACAGTCCCCAAGAATACTGTCACATGTCTAGACGGATCCTGAGGTCACCCCATCAACGCAAAGCAGCACAATGTGCCCCAAATCAACTCGGGATGATGCCAGATTCCCGTGCTTTGACTCCAGAGCCATCCCCTCGTTCCCCATTAAACACGACCAGTGGCTTGACTTCCTTCAGGCAACTCCAGAGATGCCCCGAGAACACTGTCCCAAGTCTAGATTAACACCAACGTCAGCACAGCAACTCGAGGTATGCTCCATGTACCCCAAATCGTCTCGAGATGAGAGCTGATTCCCTGGTTTAGGCTCAAGACGTATGCCAAGTTTCCAGAAGCACCTCAAGGGGAGGCTTCTCTCAGCAACAGGTATGTTGGAGGGACCCCCAGTGTGCTGCCTCAATTGGAATATACAGCGAGAAGCCCTAACTTGAAAGGAGGCCGGATTTCCTTGCAGTGTTTTGAATACAGGCTCGTCTTTCATCTCACAACCGGAAGGGAGGTCTGAATCCCCTGTGGAGACCTTAGAGAAAGCCCTAGGTCCCTGCCTCATTTTGACGGAATGCCTCACATCCCGTTGACATCTCGAGAGGCACACGGAGTTCACTGCTTCAAAATGTGACGATGCCTGACTCTTCCTGTACATTGATAGGAATCCCCAAATCACTGTAGCTACAGGAAAGGGTTCTTGGGTGCCCTGTGTCACTTCGAGAAGCATCCCTTTTGCCCTGCCAAGCCTCTAAGAAATTCCTGAGGTGTCTCTCGTTACTAGACAGGAGTCCTGACCTCACTGAATAAACACGTGTTTTGAAGGGCCATCCCCGCCATAACTCGAGAACATACCTCAGGTCCCGCCGCAATTCGACCAAAACGGTGAGACTTCCCCTAGATGCGAGATGAGGTCTGATTCCCTGCAGTCCATGCAGAGCAGTCCCGTGATCCCCATCAAGCAAGTCAGGAGCTTCGACTTGCTTAATGGATCTCGAGAGAGTCCCCAGGAACACTGTCACAAGTCTAGACAGACCCTGAGGTCACCCCAGCAATGCAAAGCAGCTCCAAGTGCCCCACATCAACTCGAGATGAGGCCCGATTCCCCTGCATTGACTCCAGAGCCATCCCCCGTACCCCATTAAACACCACCAGTGGCTTGACTTCCTTCAGGCAACTCCAGAGATGCCCCGAGAACACTATCCCAAGTCTAGAGGAACACCAACTTCAGCACAGCCACTCGAGGAATGCTCCGTGTACCCCAAATCGTTTCGAGGTGAGAGGTGATTCCCTGGCTTAGGCTCAAGACGTATGCCAACTTTCCAGAAGCACCTCAACAGGAGGCTTCTCTCAGCAATCGTTAAGTGGGAGGGACCCCGAGTTTGCTGCCTCAAGTGGAATATACAGCGAGAAGCCCTAACTTGAAAGGAGGCCGGATTTAATTGCAGTGGCTTGAATACAGGCTCGTCTTTCATCTCACAACAGGAAGGGATGTCTGAATCCCCTGTGGAGACCTTAGAGAAAGCCCTAGGTCCCTGCCTCATTTTGACGGAATGTCTCACATCCCGTTGACAACTCGAGAGGCACCGGGAGTTCACTGCTTCAAAAGGTGACGATGCCTGACTACTCTTGAATATTGACAGGAATCCAAAATCCTTGTGGCTATTGGAAAGGTTCCTTCGGTGCCCTGCCTCACCTCGAGAACCGTCCCTTGTGCCCTGCCAAGCCTCGAAGAGATTCCTGAGCTGTCCCTCGTTACTGGACAAGAGTCCTGACGTCACTGAATAAACACGAGTTTTGAAGGGCCATCCCCGTCGTAACCCGAGTACATACCCCAGGTCCCCGCCGCAAGTCGAGAAATCCATGAAAGTTTCCCCTAGAGGCGAGATGAGGCCCGATTCTCCTGCAGTGCATGCAGAGCAATTCCGTGATCCCCATCAAACAAGTCAGGACCTTCGATTTGCCTAATGGATCTCGAGACAGTCCCCAAGAATACTGTCACATGTCTAGACGGATCCTGAGGTCACCCCATCAAAGCAAAGCAGCACAATGTGCCCCAAATCAACTTGGGATGATGCCAGATTCCCCTGCATTGACTCCAGAGCCATCCCCCGTTCCCCATTAAACACGACCAGTGGCTTGACTTCCTTCAGGCAACTCCAGAGATGCCCCGAGAACACTGTCCCAAGTCTAGAGGAACAGCAACTTCAGCACAGCAACTCGAGGAATGGTCCGTGTACCACAAATCATCTCGAGATGAGAGCTGATTCCCTGGCTTATGCTCAAGACGTATGCCAAGTTTCCAGAAGCACCTCAAGGGGAGGCTTCTCTCAGCAATAGGTATGTTGGAGGGAGCCCCAGTTTGCTGCCTCAAGTGGAATATACAGCGAGAAGCCCTAACTTGAAAGGAGGCCGGATTTCCTTGCAGTGTCTTGAATACAGGCTCGTCTTTCATCTCACAACCGGAAGGGATGTCTGAATCCCCTGTGGAGACCTTAGAGAAAGCCCTAGGTCCCTGCCTCATTTTGACGGAATGCCTCACATCCCGTTGACACCTCGAGAGGCACACGGAGTTCACTGTTTCCAAATGTGACGATGCCTGACTCCTCCTGAACATTGATAGGAATCCCAAAATCACTGTGGCTACAGGAAAGGGTTCTTGGGTGCCCTGCCTCACCTCGAGAAGCATCCCTTTTGCCCTGCCAAGCCTCGAAGAGATTCCTGAGGTGTCTCTCGTTACTAGACAGGAGTCCTGACGTCACTGAATAAACATGTGTTTTGAAGGGCCATCCCCGCCATAACTCGAGAACATACCCCAGGTCCCGCCGCAACTCGAGCAAAACCATGAGACTTCCCCTAGATGCCAGATGAGGTCTGATTCCCTGCAGTCCATGCAGAGCATTCCCGTGATCCCCATCAAGCAAGTCAGGAGCTTCGACTTGCTTAATTGAACTCGAGAAAGTCCCCAGGAACACTGTCACAAGTCTAGACAGACCCTGAGGTCACCCCAGCAATGCAAAGCAGCTCCAAGTACCCCACATCAACTCAAGATGAGGCCCGATTCCCATTCATTGACTCCACAGCCATCCCCCGTACCCCATTAAACACCACCAGTGGCTTGACTTCCTTCAGGCAACTCCAGAGATGCCCCGAGAACACTGTCCCAAGACTAGAGGAACACCAACTTCAGCACAGCAACTCGAGGAATGCTCCGTGTACCACAAATCGTCTCGAGATGAGAGCTGAATCCCTGGCTTAGGCTCAAGACGTATGCCAACTTTCCAGAAGCACCTCAAGAGGAGGCTTCTCTCATCAATGGGTATGTTCGTGGGACCCAGAGTTTGCTGCCTCAAGTGGAATATACAGCGAGAAGCCCTAACTTGAAAGGAGGCCGGATTTCCTTGCAGTGGCTTGAATACAGGCTTGTCTTTCATCTCACAGCATGAAGGGATGTCTGAACCCCCTGTGGAGACTTTAGAGAAAGCTCTAGGTCCCTGCCTCATTTTGACGGAATGCCTCACATCCCGTTGTCACATCGAGAGGCACGCGGAGTTCACTGCTTCAAAAGTTGACGATGCCTGACTCCTCTTGAATATTGATAAGAATCCCAAAGTCCCTGTGGCTATTGGAAAGGTTCCTTGGGTGCCCTGCCTCACCTCGAGAAGCGTCCCTTGTGCACTGCCAAGCCTCGAAGAGATTCCTGAGCTGTCCCTCGTTACTGGACAGGAGTCCTGACATCACTGAATAAACACGAGTTTTGAAGGGCCACCCCGCCGTAACCCGAGTACATACCCCAGGTCCCCGCCGCAAGTCGAGAAAAACCATGAGACTTTCCCCTAGTGGCGAGATGAGGCCCGATTCTCCTGCAGTGCATGCAGAGCAATTCCGTGATCCCCATCAAACAAGTCAGGACATTCGACTTGCTTAATGGATCTCGAGACAGTCCCCAAGAATACTGTCACATGTCTAGACGGATCCTGAGGTCACCCCATCAATGCAAAGCAGCACCATGTGCCCCATATCAACTCGAGATAATGCCCGATTCCTCTGCATTGACTCCAGAGCCATGCCCCGTTCCACATTAAACACCACCAGTGGCTTGACTTCCTTCAGACAACTCCAGAGATGCCCTGAGAACACTGTCCCAAGTCTAGAGGAACACCATCTTCAGCACAGCAACTCGAGGAATGCTCCGTGTACCCCAAATCATCTCGAGATGAGAGCTGATTCCCGGGCTTAGGCTCAAGACGTATGCCAACTTTCCAGAAGCACCTCAAGGGGAGGCTTCTCTCAGCAATAGGTATGTTGGAGGGACCCCCAGTTTGCTGCCTCAAGTGGAATATGCAGCGAGAAGCCCTAACTTGAAAGGAGGCCGGGTTTCCTTGCAGTGTCTTGAATACAGGCTCGTCTTTCATCTCACAACCGGAAGGAATGTCTGAATCCCCTGTGGAGACCTTAACGAAAGCCCTAGGTCCCTGCCTCATTTTGACGGATTGCCTCACATCCCGTTGACACCTCGAGAGGCACACGGAGTTCACTGCTTCAAATGTGACGATGCCTGACTCCTCCTGAACATTGATAGGAATCCCAAAATCACTGTGGCTACAGGAAAGGGTTCTTGTGTGCCCTGCCTCACCCCGAGAAGCATCCCTTTTGCCCTGCCAAGGCTCGAAGAGATTCCTGAGGTGTCCCTCATTACTAGACAGGAGTCATGACGTCACTGAATAAACACGTGTTTCAAGGGCCAAGCCCGCCATAACTCGAGAACATACCCCACGTACCGCCGCGACTCGAGAAAAAACATGAGACTTCCCCTAGATGCGATATGAGGCCTGATTCCCTGCAGTCCATGCACAGCATTCCCGTGATCCCAATCAAGCAAGTCAGCAGCTTCGAATTGCTTAATGGATCTCGAGAGAGTCCCCAGGAACACTGTCACAAGTCTAGACAGACCCTGACATCACCCCAGCAAAGCAAAGCAGGTCCAAGTACCCCACATCACCTCGAGTTGAGGCACGATTCCCATGCATTGACTCCAGAGCCATCCCCCGTACCCCATTAAACACCACCAGTGGCTTGACTTCCTTCAGGCAACTCCAGAAATGCCCCGAGAACACTGTACCAATTCTAGAGGAATACGAACTTCAGCACAGACACTCGAGGAATGCTCCGTGTACCCCAAATCGTTTCGAGGTGAGAGCTGATTCCATGGCTTACGCTCAAGACGTAGGCCAACTTTCCAGAAGCCCCTCAAGAGGAGGCTTCTCTCAGCAATAGGTATGTGGGAGGGACCCCGAGTTTGCTGCCTCAAGTGGAATATACAGCGAGAAGCCCTAACTTGAAAGGAGGCCGGATTTCCTTGCAGTGGCTTGAATACAGGCTCGTCTTTCATCTCACAGCATGAAGGGATGTCTGAAGCCCCTGTGGAGACCTTAGAGAAAGCTCTAGGTCCCTGCCTCATTTTGACGGAATGCCTCACATCCCGTTGACACTTCGAGAGGCACGCGGAATTCACTGCTTCAAAAGTGATGATGCCTCACTCGTCTTGAATATTGATAGGAATCCCAAAATCACTGTGGCTACAGGAAAGGATTCTTGCGTGCCCTGCCTCACCTCGAGAAGCATCCATTTTGCCTTGCCAAGCCTCGAAGAGATTCCTGAGGTGTCCCTCGTTACTAGACAGGAGTCCTGACGTCACTGAATAAACACGTGTTTTGAAGGCCCATCCCCGCCATAAGTCGAGAACATACCCCAGGTCCGGCCGCAATTCGAGCAAAACGATGAGACTTCCCCTAGATGCGAGATGAGGTCTCATTCCCTGCAGTCCATGCAGAGCAGTCCCGTGATCCCCATCAAGCAAGTCAGGAGCTTCGACTTGCTTAATGGATCTCCAGAGAGTCCCCAGGAACAATGTCACAAGTCTAGACAGACCCTGAGGTCACCCCAGCAATGCAAAGCAGCTCCAAGTGCCCCACATCAACTGAGATGAGGCCCGATTCTCCGGCATTGACTCCAGAGCCATCCCCCGTACCCCATTAAGCACCACCAGGGGCTTGAATTCCTTCCGGCAACTCCAGAGATGCTCCGAGAACACTGTCCCAAGTCTAGAGGAATACGAACTTCAGCAAAGCAACTCGAGGAATGCTCCGTGTACCCCAAATCGTTTCGAGGTGAGAGCTGATTCCATGGCTTAGGCTCAAGACGTATGCCAACTTTCCAGAAGCACCTCAAGAGGAGGCTTCTCTCAGCAATCGGTATGTGGGAGGGACCCCGAGTTTGCTGCCTCAAGTGGAATATACAGCGAGAAGCCCTAACTTGAAAGGAGGCCGGATTTCCTTGCAGTGTCTCGTATACAGGCTCGTCTTTCATCTCACAACAGGAAGGGATGTCTGCATCCCCTGTGAAGACCTTAGAGAAAGCCATAGGTCCCTGCCTCATGGTGACGGAATGCCTCACATCCCGTTGACACCACGAGAGGCACGCGGAGTTCAGTGCTTCAAAAGGTGACGATGCCTGACTCCTCTTGAATATTGATACGAATCCCAAAATCACTGTGGCTATTGGAACGGTTCCTTGGGTGCCCTGCCTCATCTCGAGAAGCGTCCCTTGTGCCCCGGCAAGCCTCGAAGAGATTCCTGAGCTGTCCCTCGTTACTGGACAAGAGTCCTGACGTCACTGAATAAACACGTGTTTTGAAGGGCCATCGCCGCCGTAACTCAAGAACATATCCCAGGTCCCCGCCGCAACTCGAGAAAAACCATGAAACTTTCCCCTAGAGGCGAGATGAGGCCCGATTCTCCTGCAGTGCATGCAGAGCAATTCCGTGATCCCCATCCAACAAGTCAGGAGCTTCGACTTGCTTAATGGATCTCGAGACATTCCCCAAGAACACTGTCACATGTCTAGACGGACCCTGAGGTATCCCCAGCAACGCAAAGCAGCTCCATGTGCCCCAAATCAACTTGAGATGACGTCCGATTCCCCTGTATTGACTCCAGAGCCATCTGCCGTTCCGCATTAAACACCACCAGTGGCTTGACCTCCTTCAGACAACTCCAGAGATGCCCTGAGAACACTCTCCCTAGTCTAGAGGAACACCTACTTTAGCACAGCAACTCGAGGAATGCTTCCTGTATGCCAAATCTTCTCGAGATGAGAGCTGATACCCTGGCTTAGGCTCAAGACGTATGCCAACTTTCCAGAAGCACCTCAAGAAGAGGCTTCTCTCAGCAATAGGTATGTGGGAGGGAACCCGAGTTTGCTGCCTCAAATGGAATATACAGCGAGAAGCACTAACTAGAAAGGAGGCCGGTTTCCTAGCAGTGTCTTGAATACAGGGTCGTCTTTCATCTCACAGCAGGAAGAGATGTCTGAATCCCCTGTGGAGACCTTAGAGAAAGCCCTAGTTCCCTGCCTCATTTTGACGGAATGCCTCACATCCCGTTGACACCTCGAGAGTCACGCGGAGTTCACTGCTTCAAAAGCTGACGATGCCTGACTCCTCTTGAATATTGATAGGAATCACAAAATCCCTGTGGCTATTGGAAAGGTTCCTTGGGTGCCCTGCCTCACCTCGAGAAGCGTCCCTTGTGCCTGCCAAGCCTCGAAGAGATTCCTGAGCTGTCCCTCGTTACTGGACAGGAGTCCTGACGTCACTGAATAAACACGAGTTTTTAAGGGCCATCCCCGCCGTAACCCGAGTACATACCCCAGGTCCCCGCCGCAAGTCGAGAAAAACCATGAGACTTTCCCCTCGTGGCGAGATGAGGCCCGATTCTCCTGCAGTGCATGCAGAGCAATTCCGTGATCCCCATCAAACAAGTCAGGACCTTCGACTTGCTTAATGGATCTCGAGACAGACCCCAAAAATACTGTCACATGTCTAGATGGATCCTGCGGTCACCCCATCAACGCAAAGCAGCACCATGTGCCCCACATCAACTCGAGATAATGCCCGATTCCCCTGCATTGACTCCAGAGCCATCCCCCGTTCCACATTAAACACCACCAGTGGCTTGACTTCCTTCAGACAACTCCAGAGATGCCCTGAGAACACTGTCCCAAGTCTAGAGGAACACCATCTTCAGCACAGCAACTCGAGGAATACTCCGTGTACCCCAAATCGTCTCGAGATGAGAGCTGATTCCCTGGCTTAGGCTCAAGACGTATGCCAACTTTCCAGAAGCACCTCTAGGGGAGGCTTATCTCAGCAATAGGTATGTTGGAGGGACCCCCAGTTTGCTGCCTCAAGTGGAATATGCAGCGAGAAGCCCTAACTTGAAAGGATCCCGGGTTTCCTTGCAGTGTCTTGAATACAGGCTCGTCTTTCATCTCACAACCGGAAGGAATGTCTGATTCCCCTGTGGAGACCTTATCGAAAGCCCTAGGTCCCTGCCTCATTTTGACGGATTGCCTCACATCACGTTGACACCTCGAGAGGCACACGGAGTTCACTGCTTCAAATGTGACGATGCCTGACTCCTCCTGAACATTGATAGGAATCCCAAAATCACTGTGGCTACAGGAAAGGGTTCTTGGGTGCCCTGCCTCACCTCGAGAAGCATCCCTTTTGCCCTGCCAAGGCTCGAAGAGATTCCTGAGGTGTCCCTCATTACTAGACAGGAGTCATGACGTCACTGAATAAACACGTGTTTTCAAGGGCCATGCCCGCCATAACTCGAGAACATACCCCAGGTCCCGCCGCAACTCGAGAAAAACCATGAGGCTTCCCCTAGATGCGATATGAGGCCTGATTCCCTGCAGTCCATGCAGAGCATTCCCTTGATCCCAATCAAGCAAGTCAGCAGCTTCGAATTGCTTAAAGGATCTCGAGACAGTCCCCAAGAATACTGTCACATGTCTAGACAGAACCTGACATCACCCCATCAACGCAAAGCAGCACAATGTGCCCCAAATCAACTCTGGATGATGCCAGATCCCCCTGCATTGACTCCAGAGCCATCCCCCGTTCCCCATTAAACACGACCAGTGGCTTGACTTCCTTCAGGCAACTCCAGAGATGCCCCGAGAACACTGTCCCAAGTCTAGAGGAACACCAACTTCAGAACAGCAACTCGAGGAATGTTCCGTGTACCCCAAATCGTCTCGAGATGAGAGCTGATTCCCTGGCTTAGGTTCAAGACGTATGCCAACTTTCCAGAAGCACCTCAAGCGGAGGATTCTCTCAGCAATAGGTATGTTGGAGGGTCCCCCACTTTGCTGCCTCAAGTGGAATATACAGCGAGAAGCCCTAACTGGAAAGGAGGCCGGATTTCCTTGCAATGGCTTGAATACAGGCTCGTCTTTCATCTCAGAGCATGAAGGGATGTCTGAATCCCCTGTGGAGAACTTAGAGAAAGCCCTAGGTCCCTGCCTCATTTTGACGGATTGCCTCACATCCCGTTGACACCTCGAGAGGCACGCGGAGTTCACTGCTTCAAAAGGTGATGATGCCTGACTCGTCTTGAATATTGATAGGAATCCCAAAATCCCTGTGGCTATTGGAAAGGTTCCTTGGGTGCCCTGCCTCACCTCGAGAAGCGTCCCTTGTGCTTGCCAAGCCTTGAAGAGATTCCTGAGCTGTCCCTCGTTACTGGACAGGAGTCCTGACGTCACTGAATAAACACGAGTTTTGAAGGGCCATCCCCGCCGTAACCCGAGTACATACCCCAGGTCCCCGCCGCAAGTCGAGAAAAACCATGAGACTTTCCCCTAGTGGCGAGATGAGGCCCGATTCTCCTGCAGTGCATGCAGAGCAATTCCGTGATCCCCATCAAACAAGTCAGGACATTCGACTTGCTTAATGGATCTCGAGACAGTCCCCAAGAATACTGTCACATGTCTAGACGGATCCTGAGGTCACCCCATCAATGCAAAGCAGCACCATGTGCCCCACATCAACTCGAGATAATGCCCGATTCCCCTGCATTGACTCCAGAGCCATGCCCCGTTCCACATTAAACACCACCAGTGGCTTGACTTCCTTCAGACAACTCCAGAGATGCCCTGAGAACACTGTCCCAAGTCTAGAGGAACACCATCTTCAGCACAGCAACTCGAGGAATGCTCCGTGTACCCCAAATCATCTCGAGATGAGAGCTGATTCCCTGGCTTAGGCTCAAGACGTATGCCAACTTTCCAGAAGCACCTCCAGGGGAGGCTTCTCTCAGCAATAGGTATGTTGGAGGGACCCCCAATTTGCTGCCTCAAGTGGAATATGCAGCGAGAAGCCCTAACTTGAAAGGAGGCCGGGTTTCCTTGCAGTGTCTTGAATACAGGCTCGTCTTTCATCTCACAACAGGAAGGAATGTCTGAATCCCCTGTGGAGACCTTAGCGAAAGCCCTAGGTCCCTGCCTCATTTTGACGGATTGCCTCACATCCCGTTGACACCTCGAGAGGCACACGGATTTCACTGCTTCAAATGTGACGATGCCTGACTCCTCCTGAACATTGATAGGAATCCCAAAATCACTGTGGCTACAGGAAAGGGTTCTTGTGTGCCCTGCCTCACCTCGAGAAGCATCCCTTTTGCCCTGCCAAGGCTCGAAGAGATTCCTGAGCTGTCCCTCGTTACTGGACAGGAGTCCTGACGTCACTGAATAAACACGAGTTTTTAAGGGCCATCCCCGCCGTAACCCGAGTACATACCCCAGGTCCCCGTCGCAAGTCGAGAAAAACCATGAGACTTTCCCCTCGTGGCGAGATGAGGCCCGATTCTCCTGCAGTGCATGCAGAGCAATTCCGTGATCCCCATCAAACAAGTCAGGACCTTCGACTTGCTTAATGGATCTCGAGACAGTCCCCAAAAATACTGTCACATGTCTAGATGGATCCTGCGGTCACCCCATCAACGCAAAGCAGCACCATGTGCCCCACATCAACTCGAGATAATGCCCGATTCCCCTGCATTGACTCCAGAGCCATCCCCCGTTCCACATTAAACACCACCAGTGGCTTGACTTCCTTCAGACAACTCCAGAGATGCCCTGAGAACACTGTCCCAAGTCTAGAGGAACACCATCTTCAGCACAGCAACTCGAGGAATACTCCGTGTACCCCAAATCGTCTCGAGATGAGAGCTGATTCCCTGGCTTAGGCTCAAGACGTATGCCAACTTTCCAGAAGCACCTCTAGGGGAGGCTTATCTCAGCAATAGGTATGTTGGAGGGACCCCCAGTTTGCTGCCTCAAGTGGAATATGCAGCGAGAAGCCCTAACTTGAAAGGATCCCGGGTTTCCTTGCAGTGTCTTGAATACAGGCTCGTCTTTCATCTCACAACCGGAAGGAATGTCTGATTCCCCTGTGGAGACCTTATCGAAAGCCCTAGGTCCCTGCCTCATTTTGACGGTTGCCTCACATCACGTTGACACCTCGAGAGGCACACGGAGTTCACTGCTTCAAATGTGACGATGCCTGACTCCTCCTGAACATTGATAGGAATCCCAAAATCACTGTGGCTACAGGAAAGGGTTCTTGGGTGCCCTGCCTCACCTCGAGAAGCATCCCTTTTGCCCTGCCAAGGCTCGAAGAGATTCCTGAGGTGTCCCTCATTACTAGACAGGAGTCATGACGTCACTGAATAAACACGTGTTTTCAAGGGCCATGCCCGCCATAACTCGAGAACATACCCCAGGTCCCGCCGCAACTCGAGAAAAACCATGAGGCTTCCCCTAGATGCGATATGAGGCCTGATTCCCTGCAGTCCATGCAGAGCATTCCCGTGATCCCAATCAAGCAAGTCAGCAGCTTCGAATTGCTTAAAGGATCTCGAGAGAGTCCCCAGGAACACTGTCACAAGTCTAGACAGAACCTGACATCACCCCAGCAACGCAAAGCAGCTCCAAGTACCCCACATCAACTCGAGTTGAGGCCCGATTCCCATGCATTGACTCCAGAGCCATCCCCCGTACCCCATTAAACACCACCAGTGGCTTGACTTCCTTCAGGCAACTCCAGAGATGCCCCGAGAACACTGTCCCAAGTCTAGAGCAATACAAACTTCAGAACAGCAACTCGAGGAATTTCCCGTGTACCTCAAATCGTTTCGAGGTGAGAGCTGATTCCATGGCTTAGGCTCAAGACGTATGCCAACTTTCCAGAAGCCCCTCAAGAGGAGGCTTCTCTCAGCAATAGGTATGTGGGAGGGACCCCGAGTTTGCTGCCTCAAGTGGAATATACAGCGAGAAGCCCTAACTGGAAAGGAGGACGGATTTCCTTGCAATGGCTTGAATACAGGCTCGTCTTTCATCTCACAGCATGAAGGGATGTCTGAATCCCCTGTGGAGACCTTAGAGAAAGCTCTAGGTACCTGCCTCATTTTGACGGAATGCCTCACATCCCGTTGACACTTCGAGAGGCACGCGGAGTTCACTGCTTCAAAAGTTGACGATGCCTGACTCCTCTTGAATATTGATAAGAATCCCAAAATCCCTGTGGCTATTGGAAAGGTTCCTTGGGTGCCCTGCCTCACCTCGAGAAGCGTCCCTTGTGCACTGCCAAGCCTCGAAGAGATTCCTGAGCTGTCCCTCGTTACTGGACAGGAGTCCTGACGTCACTGAATAAACACGAGTTTTGAAGGGCCATCCCCGCCGTAACCCGAGTACATACCCCAGGTCCCCGCCGCAAGTCGAGATAAAGCATGAGACTTTCCCCTAGAGGCGAGATGAGGCCCGATTCTCCTGCAGTGCATGCAGAGCAATTCCGTGATCCCCATCAAACAAGTCAGGACTTTCGACCTGCTTAATGCATCTCGAGACAGTCCCCAAGAATACTGTCACATGTCTAGACGGATCCTGAGGTCACCCCATCAACGCAAAGCAGCACAATGTGCCCCAAATCAAATCTGGATGATGCCAGATCCCCCTGCATTGACTCCAGAGCCATCCCCCGTTCCCCATTAAACACGACCAGTGGCTTGACTTCCTTCAGGCAACTCCAGAGATGCCCCGAGAACACTGTCCCAAGTCTAGAGGAACACCAACTTCAGCACAGCAACTCGAGGAATGTTCCGTGTACCCCAAATCGTCTCGAGATGAGAGCTGATTCCCTGGCTTAGGTTCAAGACGTATGCCAACTTTCCAGAAGCACCTCAAGCGGAGGATTCTCTCAGCAATAGGTATGTTGGAGGGTCCCCCACTTTGCTGCCTCAAGTGGAATATACAGCGAGAAGCCCTAACTAGAAAGGAGGCCGGATTTCCTTTCAGTGTCTTGAATACAGGCTCGTCTTTCATCTCACAAACGGAAGGGGTGTCTGAATCCCCTGTGGAGAACTTAGAGAAAGCCCTAGGTCCCTGCCTCATTTTGACGGATTGCCTCACATCCCGTTGACACCTCGAGAGGCACGCGGAGTTCACTGCTTCAAAAGGTGATGATGCCTGACTCGTCTTGAATATTGATAGGAATCCCAAAATCCCTGTGGCTATTGGAAAGGTTCCTTGGGTGCCCTGCCTCACCTCGAGAAGCGTCCCTTGTGCTTGCCAAGCCTTGAAGAGATTCCTGAGCTGTCCCTCGTTACTGGACAGGAGTCCTGACGTCACTGAATAAACACGAGTTTTGAAGGGCCATCCCCGCCGTAACCCGAGTACATACCCCAGGTCCCCGCCGCAAGTCGAGAAAAACCATGAGACTTTCCCCTAGTGGCGAGATGAGGCCCGATTCTCCTGCAGTGCATGCAGAGCAATTCCGTGATCCCCATCAAACAAGTCAGGACATTCGACTTGCTTAATGGATCTCGAGACAGTCCCCAAGAATACTGTCACATGTCTAGACGGATCCTGAGGTCACCCCATCAATGCAAAGCAGCACCATGTGCCCCACATCAACTCGAGATAATGCCCGATTCCCCTGCATTGACTCCAGAGCCATGCCCCGTTCCACATTAAACACCACCAGTGGCTTGACTTCCTTCAGACAACTCCAGAGATGCCCTGAGAACACTGTCCCAAGTCTAGAGGAACACCATCTTCAGCACAGCAACTCGAGGAATGCTCCGTGTACCCCAAATCATCTCGAGATGAGAGCTGATTCCCTGGCTTAGGCTCAAGACGTATGCCAACTTTCCAGAAGCACCTCAAGGGGAGGCTTCTCTCAGCAATAGGTATGTTGGAGGGACCCCCAGTTTGCTGCCTCAAGTGGAATATGCAGCGAGAAGCCCTAACTTGAAAGGAGGCCGGGTTTCCTTGCAGTGTCTTGAATACAGGCTCGTCTTTCATCTCACAACCGGAAGGAATGTCTGAATCCCCTGTGGAGACCTTAGCGAAAGCCCTAGGTCCCTGCCTCATTTTGACGGATTGCCTCACATCCCGTTGACACCTCGAGAGGCACACGGATTTCACTGCTTCAAATGTGACGATGCCTGACTCCTCCTGAACATTGATAGGAATCCCAAAATCACTGTGGCTACAGGAAAGGGTTCTTGTGTGCCCTGCCTCACCTCGAGAAGCATCCCTTTTGCCCTGCCAAGGCTCGAAGAGATTCCTGAGCTGTCCCTCGTTACTGGACAGGAGTCCTGACGTCACTGAATAAACACGAGTTTTTAAGGGCCATCCCCGCCGTAACCCGAGTACATACCCCAGGTCCCCGTCGCAAGTCGAGAAAAACCATGAGACTTTCCCCTCGTGGCGAGATGAGGCCCGATTCTCCTGCAGTGCATGCAGAGCAATTCCGTGATCCCCATCAAACAAGTCAGGACCTTCGACTTGCTTAATGGATCTCGAGACAGACCCCAAAAATACTGTCACATGTCTAGATGGATCCTGCGGTCACCCCATCAACGCAAAGCAGCACCATGTGCCCCACATCAACTCGAGATAATGCCCGATTCCCCTGCATTGACTCCAGAGCCATCCCCCGTTCCACATTAAACACCACCAGTGGCTTGACTTCCTTCAGACAACTCCAGAGATGCCCTGAGAACACTGTCCCAAGTCTAGAGGAACACCATCTTCAGCACAGCAACTCGAGGAATACTCCGTGTACCCCAAATCGTCTCGAGATGAGAGCTGATTCCCTGGCTTAGGCTCAAGACGTATGCCAACTTTCCAGAAGCACCTCTAGGGGAGGCTTATCTCAGCAATAGGTATGTTGGAGGGACCCCCAGTTTGCTGCCTCAAGTGGAATATGCAGCGAGAAGCCCTAACTTGAAAGGATCCCGGGTTTCCTTGCAGTGTCTTGAATACAGGCTCGTCTTTCATCTCACAACCGGAAGGAATGTCTGATTCCCCTGTGGAGACCTTATCGAAAGCCCTAGGTCCCTGCCTCATTTTGACGGATTGCCTCACATCACGTTGACACCTCGAGAGGCACACGGAGTTCACTGCTTCAAATGTGACGATGCCTGACTCCTCCTGAACATTGATAGGAATCCCAAAATCACTGTGGCTACAGGAAAGGGTTCTTGGGTGCCCTGCCTCACCTCGAGAAGCATCCCTTTTGCCCTGCCAAGGCTCGAAGAGATTCCTGAGGTGTCCCTCATTACTAGACAGGAGTCATGACGTCACTGAATAAACACGTGTTTTCAAGGGCCATGCCCGCCATAACTCGAGAACATACCCCAGGTCCCGCCGCAACTCGAGAAAAACCATGAGGCTTCCCCTAGATGCGATATGAGGCCTGATTCCCTGCAGTCCATGCAGAGCATTCCCGTGATCCCAATCAAGCAAGTCAGCAGCTTCGAATTGCTTAAAGGATCTCGAGAGAGTCCCCAGGAACACTGTCACAAGTCTAGACAGAACCTGACATCACCCCAGCAACGCAAAGCAGCTCCAAGTACCCCACATCAACTCGAGTTGAGGCCCGATTCCCATGCATTGACTCCAGAGCCATCCCCCGTACCCCATTAAACACCACCAGTGGCTTGACTTCCTTCAGGCAACTCCAGAGATGCCCCGAGAACACTGTCCCAAGTCTAGAGCAATACAAACTTCAGAACAGCAACTCGAGGAATTTCCCGTGTACCTCAAATCGTTTCGAGGTGAGAGCTGATTCCATGGCTTAGGCTCAAGACGTATGCCAACTTTCCAGAAGCCCCTCAAGAGGAGGCTTCTCTCAGCAATAGGTATGTGGGAGGGACCCCGAGTTTGCTGCCTCAAGTGGAATATACAGCGAGAAGCCCTAACTGGAAAGGAGGACGGATTTCCTTGCAATGGCTTGAATACAGGCTCGTCTTTCATCTCACAGCATGAAGGGATGTCTGAATCCCCTGTGGAGACCTTAGAGAAAGCTCTAGGTACCTGCCTCATTTTGACGGAATGCCTCACATCCCGTTGACACTTCGAGAGGCACGCGGAGTTCACTGCTTCAAAAGTTGACGATGCCTGACTCCTCTTGAATATTGATAAGAATCCCAAAATCCCTGTGGCTATTGGAAAGGTTCCTTGGGTGCCCTGCCTCACCTCGAGAAGCGTCCCTTGTGCACTGCCAAGCCTCGAAGAGATTCCTGAGCTGTCCCTCGTTACTGGACAGGAGTCCTGACGTCACTGAATAAACACGAGTTTTGAAGGGCCATCCCCGCCGTAACCCGAGTACATACCCCAGGTCCCCGCCGCAAGTCGAGATAAAGCATGAGACTTTCCCCTAGAGGCGAGATGAGGCCCGATTCTCCTGCAGTGCATGCAGAGCAGTTCCGTGATCCCCATCAAACAAGTCAGGACTTTCGACTTGCTTAATGCATCTCGAGACAGTCCCCAAGAATACTGTCACATGTCTAGACGGATCCTGAGGTCACCCCATCAACGCAAAGCAGCACAATGTGCCCCAAATCAACTCTGGATGATGCCAGATCCCCCTGCATTGACTCCAGAGCCATCCCCCGTTCCCCATTAAACACGACCAGTGGCTTGACTTCCTTCAGGCAACTCCAGAGATGCCCCGAGAACACTGTCCCAAGTCTAGAGGAACACCAACTTCAGCACAGCAACTCGAGGAATGTTCCGTGTACCCCAAATCGTCTCGAGATGAGAGCTGATTCCCTGGCTTAGGTTCAAGACGTATGCCAACTTTCCAGAAGCACCTCAAGCGGAGGATTCTCTCAGCAATAGGTATGTTGGAGGGTCCCCCACTTTGCTGCCTCAAGTGGAATATACAGCGAGAAGCCCTAACTAGAAAGGAGGCCGGATTTCCTTTCAGTGTCTTGAATACAGGCTCGTCTTTCATCTCACAAACGGAAGGGGTGTCTGAATCCCCTGTGGAGAACTTAGAGAAAGCCCTAGGTCCCTGCCTCATTTTGACGGATTGCCTCACATCCCGTTGACACCTCGAGAGGCACGCGGAGTTCACTGCTTCAAAAGGTGATGATGCCTGACTCGTCTTGAATATTGATAGGAATCCCAAAATCCCTGTGGCTATTGGAAAGGTTCCTTGGGTGCCCTGCCTCACCTCGAGAAGCGTCCCTTGTGCTTGCCAAGCCTTGAAGAGATTCCTGAGCTGTCCCTCGTTACTGGACAGGAGTCCTGACGTCACTGAATAAACACGAGTTTTGAAGGGCCATCCCCGCCGTAACCCGAGTACATACCCCAGGTCCCCGCCGCAAGTCGAGAAAAACCATGAGACTTTCCCCTAGTGGCGAGATGAGGCCCGATTCTCCTGCAGTGCATGCAGAGCAATTCCGTGATCCCCATCAAACAAGTCAGGACATTCGACTTGCTTAATGGATCTCGAGACAGTCCCCAAGAATACTGTCACATGTCTAGACGGATCCTGAGGTCACCCCATCAATGCAAAGCAGCACCATGTGCCCCACATCAACTCGAGATAATGCCCGATTCCCCTGCATTGACTCCAGAGCCATGCCCCGTTCCACATTAAACACCACCAGTGGCTTGACTTCCTTCAGACAACTCCAGAGATGCCCTGAGAACACTGTCCCAAGTCTAGAGGAACACCATCTTCAGCACAGCAACTCGAGGAATGCTCCGTGTACCCCAAATCATCTCGAGATGAGAGCTGATTCCCTGGCTTAGGCTCAAGACGTATGCCAACTTTCCAGAAGCACCTCAAGGGGAGGCTTCTCTCAGCAATAGGTATGTTGGAGGGACCCCCAGTTTGCTGCCTCAAGTGGAATATGCAGCGAGAAGCCCTAACTTGAAAGGAGGCCGGGTTTCCTTGCAGTGTCTTGAATACAGGCTCGTCTTTCATCTCACAACCGGAAGGAATGTCTGAATCCCCTGTGGAGACCTTAGCGAAAGCCCTAGGTCCCTGCCTCATTTTGACGGATTGCCTCACATCCCGTTGACACCTCGAGAGGCACACGGATTTCACTGCTTCAAATGTGACGATGCCTGACTCCTCCTGAACATTGATAGGAATCCCAAAATCACTGTGGCTACAGGAAAGGGTTCTTGTGTGCCCTGCCTCACCTCGAGAAGCATCCCTTTTGCCCTGCCAAGGCTCGAAGAGATTCCTGAGCTGTCCCTCGTTACTGGACAGGAGTCCTGACGTCACTGAATAAACACGAGTTTTTAAGGGCCATCCCCGCCGTAACCCGAGTACATACCCCAGGTCCCCGTCGCAAGTCGAGAAAAACCATGAGACTTTCCCCTCGTGGCGAGATGAGGCCCGATTCTCCTGCAGTGCATGCAGAGCAATTCCGTGATCCCCATCAAACAAGTCAGGACCTTCGACTTGCTTAATGGATCTCGAGACAGACCCCAAAAATACTGTCACATGTCTAGATGGATCCTGCGGTCACCCCATCAACGCAAAGCAGCACCATGTGCCCCACATCAACTCGAGATAATGCCCGATTCCCCTGCATTGACTCCAGAGCCATCCCCCGTTCCACATTAAACACCACCAGTGGCTTGACTTCCTTCAGACAACTCCAGAGATGCCCTGAGAACACTGTCCCAAGTCTAGAGGAACACCATCTTCAGCACAGCAACTCGAGGAATACTCCGTGTACCCCAAATCGTCTCGAGATGAGAGCTGATTCCCTGGCTTAGGCTCAAGACGTATGCCAACTTTCCAGAAGCACCTCTAGGGGAGGCTTATCTCAGCAATAGGTATGTTGGAGGGACCCCCAGTTTGCTGCCTCAAGTGGAATATGCAGCGAGAAGCCCTAACTTGAAAGGATCCCGGGTTTCCTTGCAGTGTCTTGAATACAGGCTCGTCTTTCATCTCACAACCGGAAGGAATGTCTGATTCCCCTGTGGAGACCTTATCGAAAGCCCTAGGTCCCTGCCTCATTTTGACGGATTGCCTCACATCACGTTGACACCTCGAGAGGCACACGGAGTTCACTGCTTCAAATGTGACGATGCCTGACTCCTCCTGAACATTGATAGGAATCCCAAAATCACTGTGGCTACAGGAAAGGGTTCTTGGGTGCCCTGCCTCACCTCGAGAAGCATCCCTTTTGCCCTGCCAAGGCTCGAAGAGATTCCTGAGGTGTCCCTCATTACTAGACAGGAGTCATGACGTCACTGAATAAACACGTGTTTTCAAGGGCCATGCCCGCCATAACTCGAGAACATACCCCAGGTCCCGCCGCAACTCGAGAAAAACCATGAGGCTTCCCCTAGATGCGATATGAGGCCTGATTCCCTGCAGTCCATGCAGAGCATTCCCGTGATCCCAATCAAGCAAGTCAGCAGCTTCGAATTGCTTAAAGGATCTCGAGAGAGTCCCCAGGAACACTGTCACAAGTCTAGACAGAACCTGACATCACCCCAGCAACGCAAAGCAGCTCCAAGTACCCCACATCAACTCGAGTTGAGGCCCGATTCCCATGCATTGACTCCAGAGCCATCCCCCGTACCCCATTAAACACCACCAGTGGCTTGACTTCCTTCAGGCAACTCCAGAGATGCCCCGAGAACACTGTCCCAAGTCTAGAGCAATACAAACTTCAGAACAGCAACTCGAGGAATTTCCCGTGTACCTCAAATCGTTTCGAGGTGAGAGCTGATTCCATGGCTTAGGCTCAAGACGTATGCCAACTTTCCAGAAGCCCCTCAAGAGGAGGCTTCTCTCAGCAATAGGTATGTGGGAGGGACCCCGAGTTTGCTGCCTCAAGTGGAATATACAGCGAGAAGCCCTAACTGGAAAGGAGGACGGATTTCCTTGCAATGGCTTGAATACAGGCTCGTCTTTCATCTCACAGCATGAAGGGATGTCTGAATCCCCTGTGGAGACCTTAGAGAAAGCTCTAGGTACCTGCCTCATTTTGACGGAATGCCTCACATCCCGTTGACACTTCGAGAGGCACGCGGAGTTCACTGCTTCAAAAGTTGACGATGCCTGACTCCTCTTGAATATTGATAAGAATCCCAAAATCCCTGTGGCTATTGGAAAGGTTCCTTGGGTGCCCTGCCTCACCTCGAGAAGCGTCCCTTGTGCACTGCCAAGCCTCGAAGAGATTCCTGAGCTGTCCCTCGTTACTGGACAGGAGTCCTGACGTCACTGAATAAACACGAGTTTTGAAGGGCCATCCCCGCCGTAACCCGAGTACATACCCCAGGTCCCCGCCGCAAGTCGAGATAAAGCATGAGACTTTCCCCTAGAGGCGAGATGAGGCCCGATTCTCCTGCAGTGCATGCAGAGCAATTCCGTGATCCCCATCAAACAAGTCAGGACTTTCGACTTGCTTAATGCATCTCGAGACAGTCCCCAAGAATACTGTCACATGTCTAGACGGATCCTGAGGTCACCCCATCAACGCAAAGCAGCACAATGTGCCCCAAATCAACTCTGGATGATGCCAGATCCCCCTGCATTGACTCCAGAGCCATCCCCCGTTCCCCATTAAACACGACCAGTGGCTTGACTTCCTTCAGGCAACTCCAGAGATGCCCCGAGAACACTGTCCCAAGTCTAGAGGAACACCAACTTCAGCACAGCAACTCGAGGAATGTTCCGTGTACCCCAAATCGTCTCGAGATGAGAGCTGATTCCCTGGCTTAGGTTCAAGACGTATGCCAACTTTCCAGAAGCACCTCAAGCGGAGGATTCTCTCAGCAATAGGTATGTTGGAGGGTCCCCCACTTTGCTGCCTCAAGTGGAATATACAGCGAGAAGCCCTAACTAGAAAGGAGGCCGGATTTCCTTTCAGTGTCTTGAATACAGGCTCGTCTTTCATCTCACAAACGGAAGGGGTGTCTGAATCCCCTGTGGAGAACTTAGAGAAAGCCCTAGGTCCCTGCCTCATTTTGACGGATTGCCTCACATCCCGTTGACACCTCGAGAGGCACGCGGAGTTCACTGCTTCAAAAGGTGATGATGCCTGACTCGTCTTGAATATTGATAGGAATCCCAAAATCCCTGTGGCTATTGGAAAGGTTCCTTGGGTGCCCTGCCTCACCTCGAGAAGCGTCCCTTGTGCTTGCCAAGCCTTGAAGAGATTCCTGAGCTGTCCCTCGTTACTGGACAGGAGTCCTGACGTCACTGAATAAACACGAGTTTTGAAGGGCCATCCCCGCCGTAACCCGAGTACATACCCCAGGTCCCCGCCGCAAGTCGAGAAAAACCATGAGACTTTCCCCTAGTGGCGAGATGAGGCCCGATTCTCCTGCAGTGCATGCAGAGCAATTCCGTGATCCCCATCAAACAAGTCAGGACATTCGACTTGCTTAATGGATCTCGAGACAGTCCCCAAGAATACTGTCACATGTCTAGACGGATCCTGAGGTCACCCCATCAATGCAAAGCAGCACCATGTGCCCCACATCAACTCGAGATAATGCCCGATTCCCCTGCATTGACTCCAGAGCCATGCCCCGTTCCACATTAAACACCACCAGTGGCTTGACTTCCTTCAGACAACTCCAGAGATGCCCTGAGAACACTGTCCCAAGTCTAGAGGAACACCATCTTCAGCACAGCAACTCGAGGAATGCTCCGTGTACCCCAAATCATCTCGAGATGAGAGCTGATTCCCTGGCTTAGGCTCAAGACGTATGCCAACTTTCCAGAAGCACCTCAAGGGGAGGCTTCTCTCAGCAATAGGTATGTTGGAGGGACCCCCAGTTTGCTGCCTCAAGTGGAATATGCAGCGAGAAGCCCTAACTTGAAAGGAGGCCGGGTTTCCTTGCAGTGTCTTGAATACAGGCTCGTCTTTCATCTCACAACCGGAAGGAATGTCTGAATCCCCTGTGGAGACCTTAGCGAAAGCCCTAGGTCCCTGCCTCATTTTGACGGATTGCCTCACATCCCGTTGACACCTCGAGAGGCACACGGATTTCACTGCTTCAAATGTGACGATGCCTGACTCCTCCTGAACATTGATAGGAATCCCAAAATCACTGTGGCTACAGGAAAGGGTTCTTGTGTGCCCTGCCTCACCTCGAGAAGCATCCCTTTTGCCCTGCCAAGGCTCGAAGAGATTCCTGAGCTGTCCCTCGTTACTGGACAGGAGTCCTGACGTCACTGAATAAACACGAGTTTTTAAGGGCCATCCCCGCCGTAACCCGAGTACATACCCCAGGTCCCCGTCGCAAGTCGAGAAAAACCATGAGACTTTCCCCTCGTGGCGAGATGAGGCCCGATTCTCCTGCAGTGCATGCAGAGCAATTCCGTGATCCCCATCAAACAAGTCAGGACCTTCGACTTGCTTAATGGATCTCGAGACAGACCCCAAAAATACTGTCACATGTCTAGATGGATCCTGCGGTCACCCCATCAACGCAAAGCAGCACCATGTGCCCCACATCAACTCGAGATAATGCCCGATTCCCCTGCATTGACTCCAAAGCCATCCCCCGTTCCACATTAAACACCACCAGTGGCTTGACTTCCTTCAGACAACTCCAGAGATGCCCTGAGAACACTGTCCCAAGTCTAGAGGAACACCATCTTCAGCACAGCAACTCGAGGAATACTCCGTGTACCCCAAATCGTCTCGAGATGAGAGCTGATTCCCTGGCTTAGGCTCAAGACGTATGCCAACTTTCCAGAAGCACCTCTAGGGGAGGCTTATCTCAGCAATAGGTATGTTGGAGGGACCCCCAGTTTGCTGCCTCAAGTGGAATATGCAGCGAGAAGCCCTAACTTGAAAGGATCCCGGGTTTCCTTGCAGTGTCTTGAATACAGGCTCGTCTTTCATCTCACAACCGGAAGGAATGTCTGAATCCCCTGTGGAGACCTTAGCGAAAGCCCTAGGTCCCTGCCTCATTTTGACGGATTGCCTCACATCACGTTGACACCTCGAGAGGCACACGGAGTTCACTGCTTCAAATGTGACGATGCCTGACTCCTCCTGAACATTGATAGGAATCCCAAAATCACTGTGGCTACAGGAAAGGGTTCTTGGGTGCCCTGCCTCACCTCGAGAAGCATCCCTTTTGCCCTGCCAAGGCTCGAAGAGATTCCTGAGGTGTCCCTCATTACTAGACAGGAGTCATGACGTCACTGAATAAACAAGTGTTTTCAAGGGCCATGCCCGCCATAACTCGAGAACATACCCCAGGTCCCGCCGCAACTCGAGAAAAACCATGAGGCTTCCCCTAGATGCGATATGAGGCCTGATTCCCTGCAGTCCATGCAGAGCATTCCCGTGATCCCAATCAAGCAAGTCAGCAGCTTCGAATTGCTTAAAGGATCTCGAGAGAGTCACCAGGAACACTGTCACAAGTCTAGACAGAACCTGACATCACCCCAGCAACGCAAAGCAGCTCCAAGTACCCCACATCAACTCGAGTTGAGGCCCGATTCCCATGCATTGACTCCAGAGCCATCCCCCGTACCCCATTAAACACCACCAGTGGCTTGACTTCCTTCAGGCAACTCCAGAGATGCCCCGAGAACACTGTCCCAAGTCTAGAGCAATACGAACTTCAGAACAGCAACTCGAGGAATTTCCCGTGTACCTCAAATCGTTTCGAGGTGAGAGCTGATTCCATGGCTTAGGCTCAAGACGTATGCCAACTTTCCAGAAGCCCCTCAAGAGGAGGCTTCTCTCAGCAATAGGTATGTGGGAGGGACCCCGAGTTTGCTGCCTCAAGTGGAATATACAGCGAGAAGCCCTAACTGGAAAGGAGGACGGATTTCCTTGCAATGGCTTGAATACAGGCTCGTCTTTCATCTCACAGCATGAAGGGATGTCTGAATCCCCTGTGGAGACCTTAGAGAAAGCTCTAGGTACCTGCCTCATTTTGACGGAATGCCTCACATCCCGTTGACACTTCGAGAGGCACGCGGAGTTCACTGCTTCAAAAGTTGACGATGCCTGACTCCTCTTGAATATTGATAAGAATCCCAAAATCCCTGTGGCTATTGGAAAGGTTCCTTGGGTGCCCTGCCTCACATCGAGAAGCGTCCCTTGTGCACTGCCAAGCCTCGAAGAGATTCCTGAGCTGTCCCTCGTTACTGGACAGGAGTCCTGACGTCACTGAATAAACACGAGTTTTGAAGGGCCATCCCCGCCGTAACCCGAGTACATACCCCAGGTCCCCGCCGCAAGTCGAGATAAAGCATGAGACTTTCCCCTAGAGGCGAGATGAGGCCCGATTCTCCTGCAGTGCATGCAGAGCAATTCCGTGATCAACATCAAACAAGTCAGGACTTTCGACTTGCTTAATGCATCTCGAGACAGTCCCCAAGAATACTGTCACATGTCTAGACGGATCCTGAGGTCACCCCATCAACGCAAAGCAGCACAATGTGCCCCAAATCAACTCTGGATGATGCCAGATCCCCCTGCATTGACTCCAGAGCCATCCCCCGTTCCCCATTAAACACGACCAGTTTCTTGACTTCCTTCAGGCAACTCCAGAGATGCCCCGAGAACACTGTCCCAAGTCTAGAGGAACACCAACTTCAGCACAGCAACTCGAGGAATGTTCCGTGTACCCCAAATCGTCTCGAGATGAGAGCTGATTCCCTGGCTTAGGTTCAAGACGTATGCCAACTTTCCAGAAGCACCTCAAGCGGAGGATTCTCTCAGCAATAGGTATGTTGGAGGGTCCCCCACTTTGCTGCCTCAAGTGGAATATACAGCGAGAAGCCCTAACTAGAAAGGAGGCCGGATTTCCTTTCAGTGTCTTGAATACAGGCTCGTCTTTCATCTCACAAACGGAAGGGGTGTCTGAATCCCCTGTGGAGAACTTAGAGAAAGCCCTAGGTCCCTGCCTCATTTTGACGGATTGCCTCACATCCCGTTGACACCTCGAGAGGCACGCGGAGTTCACTGCTTCAAAAGGTGATGATGCCTGACTCGTCTTGAATATTGATAGGAATCCCAAAATCCCTGTGGCTATTGGAAAGGTTCCTTGGGTGCCCTGCCTCACCTCGAGAAGCGTCCCTTGTGCTTGCCAAGCCTTGAAGAGATTCCTGAGCTGTCCCTCGTTACTGGACAGGAGTCCTGACGTCACTGAATAAACACGAGTTTTGAAGGGCCATCCCCGCCGTAACCCGAGTACATACCCCAGGTCCCCGCCGCAAGTCGAGAAAAACCATGAGACTTTCCCCTAGTGGCGAGATGAGGCCCGATTCTCCTGCAGTGCATGCAGAGCAATTCCGTGATCCCCATCAAACAAGTCAGGACATTCGACTTGCTTAATGGATCTCGAGACAGTCCCCAAGAATACTGTCACATGTCTAGACGGATCCTGAGGTCACCCCATCAATGCAAAGCAGCACCATGTGCCCCACATCAACTCGAGATAATGCCCGATTCCCCTGCATTGACTCCAGAGCCATGCCCCGTTCCACATTAAACACCACCAGTGGCTTGACTTCCTTCAGACAACTCCAGAGATGCCCTGAGAACACTGTCCCAAGTCTAGAGGAACACCATCTTCAGCACAGCAACTCGAGGAATGCTCCGTGTACCCCAAATCATCTCGAGATGAGAGCTGATTCCCTGGCTTAGGCTCAAGACGTATGCCAACTTTCCAGAAGCACCTCAAGGGGAGGCTTCTCTCAGCAATAGGTATGTTGGAGGGACCCCCAGTTTGCTGCCTCAAGTGGAATATGCAGCGAGAAGCCCTAACTTGAAAGGAGGACGGGTTTCCTTGCAGTGTCTTGAATACAGGCTCGTCTTTCATCTCACAACCGGAAGGAATGTCTGCATCCCCTGTGGAGACCTTAGCGAAAGCCCTAGGTCCCTGCCTCATTTTGACGGATTGCCTCACATCCCGTTGACACCTCGAGAGGCACACGGATTTCACTGCTTCAAATGTGACGATGCCTGACTCCTCCTGAACATTGATAGGAATCCCAAAATCACTGTGGCTACAGGAAAGGGTTCTTGTGTGCCCTGCCTCACCTCGAGAAGCATCCCTTTTGCCCTGCCAAGGCTCGAAGAGATTCCTGAGCTGTCCCTCGTTACTGGACAGGAGTCCTGACGTCACTGAATAAACACGAGTTTTTAAGGGCCATCCCCGCCGTAACCCGAGTACATACCCCAGGTCCCCGTCGCAAGTCGAGAAAAACCATGAGACTTTCCCCTCGTGGCGAGATGAGGCCCGATTCTCCTGCAGTGCATGCAGAGCAATTCCGTGATCCCCATCAAACAAGTCAGGACCTTCGACTTGCTTAATGGATCTCGAGACAGTCCCCAAAAATACTGTCACATGTCTAGATGGATCCTGCGGTCACCCCATCAACGCAAAGCAGCACCATGTGCCCCACATCAACTCGAGATAATGCCCGATTCCCCTGCATTGACTCCAGAGCCATCCCCCGTTCCACATTAAACACCACCAGTGGCTTGACTTCCTTCAGACAACTCCAGAGATGCCCTGAGAACACTGTCCCAAGTCTAGAGGAACACCATCTTCAGCACAGCAACTCGAGGAATACTCCGTGTACCCCAAATCGTCTCGAGATGAGAGCTGATTCCCTGGCTTAGGCTCAAGACGTATGCCAACTTTCCAGAAGCACCTCTAGGGGAGGCTTATCTCAGCAATAGGTATGTTGGAGGGACCCCCAGTTTGCTGCCTCAAGTGGAATATGCAGCGAGAAGCCCTAACTTGAAAGGATCCCGGGTTTCCTTGCAGTGTCTTGAATACAGGCTCGTCTTTCATCTCACAACCGGAAGGAATGTCTGATTCCCCTGTGGAGACCTTATCGAAAGCCCTAGGTCCCTGCCTCATTTTGACGGATGGCCTCACATCACGTTGACACCTCGAGAGGCACACGGAGTTCACTGCTTCAAATGTGACGATGCCTAACTCCTCCTGAACATTGATAGGAATCCCAAAATCACTGTGGCTACAGGAAAGGGTTCTTGGGTGCCCTGCCTCACCTCGAGAAGCATCCCTTTTGCCCTGCCAAGGCTCGAAGAGATTCCTGAGGTGTCCCTCATTACTAGACAGGAGTCATGACGTCACTGAATAAACACGTGTTTTCAAGGGCCATGCCCGCCATAACTCGAGAACATACCCCAGGTCCCGCCGCAACTCGAGAAAAACCATGAGGCTTCCCCTAGATGCGATATGAGGCCTGATTCCCTGCAGTCCATGCAGAGCATTCCCGTGATCCCAATCAAGCAAGTCAGCAGCTTCGAATTGCTTAAAGGATCTCGAGAGAGTCCCCAGGAACACTGTCACAAGTCTAGACAGAACCTGACATCACCCCAGCAACGCAAAGCAGCTCCAAGTTCCCCACATCAACTCGAGTTGAGGCCCGATTCCCATGCATTGACTCCAGAGCCATCCCCCGTACCCCATTAAACACCACCAGTGGCTTGACTTCCTTCAGGCAACTCCAGAGATGCCCCGAGAACACTGTCCCAAGTCTAGAGCAATACAAACTTCAGAACAGCAACTCGAGGAATTTCCCGTGTACCTCAAATCGTTTCGAGGTGAGAGCTGATTCCATGGCTTAGGCTCAAGACGTATGCCAACTTTCCAGAAGCCCCTCAAGAGGAGGCTTCTCTCAGCAATAGGTATGTGGGAGGGACCCCGAGTTTGCTGCCTCAAGTGGAATATACAGCGAGAAGCCCTAACTGGAAAGGAGGACGGATTTCCTTGCAATGGCTTGAATACAGGCTCGTCTTTCATCTCACAGCATGAAGGGATGTCTGAATCCCCTGTGGAGACCTTAGAGAAAGCTCTAGGTACCTGCCTCATTTTGACGGAATGCCTCACATCCCGTTGACACTTCGAGAGGCACGCGGAGTTCACTGCTTCAAAAGTTGACGATGCCTGACTCCTCTTGAATATTGATAAGAATCCCAAAATCCCTGTGGCTATTGGAAAGGTTCCTTGGGTGCCCTGCCTCACCTCGAGAAGCGTCCCTTGTGCACTGCCAAGCCTCGAAGAGATTCCTGAGCTGTCCCTCGTTACTGGACAGGAGTCCTGACGTCACTGAATAAACACGAGTTTTGAAGGGCCATCCCCGCCGTAACCCGAGTACATACCCCAGGTCCCCGCCGCAAGTCGAGATAAAGCATGAGACTTTCCCCTAGAGGCGAGATGAGGCCCGATTCTCCTGCAGTGCATGCAGAGCAATTCCGTGATCCCCATCAAACAAGTCAGGACTTTCGACTTGCTTAATGCATCTCGAGACAGTCCCCAAGAATACTGTCACATGTCTAGACGGATCCTGAGGTCACCCCATCAACGCAAAGCAGCACAATGTGCCCCAAATCAACTCTGGATGATGCCAGATCCCCCTGCATTGACTCCAGAGCCATCCCCCGTTCCCCATTAAACACGACCAGTGGCTTGACTTCCTTCAGGCAACTCCAGAGATGCCCCGAGAACACTGTCCCAAGTCTAGAGGAACACCAACTTCAGCACAGCAACTCGAGGAATGTTCCGTGTACCCCAAATCGTCTCGAGATGAGAGCTGATTCCCTGGCTTAGGTTCAAGACGTATGCCAACTTTCCAGAAGCACCTCAAGCGGAGGATTCTCTCAGCAATAGGTATGTTGGAGGGTCCCCCACTTTGCTGCCTCAAGTGGAATATACAGCGAGAAGCCCTAACTAGAAAGGAGGCCGGATTTCCTTTCAGTGTCTTGAATACAGGCTCGTCTTTCATCTCACAAACGGAAGGGGTGTCTGAATCCCCTGTGGAGAACTTAGAGAAAGCCCTAGGTCCCTGCCTCATTTTGACGGATTGCCTCACATCCCGTTGACACCTCGAGAGGCACGCGGAGTTCACTGCTTCAAAAGGTGATGATGCCTGACTCGTCTTGAATATTGATAGGAATCCCAAAATCCCTGTGGCTATTGGAAAGGTTCCTTGGGTGCCCTGCCTCACCTCGAGAAGCGTCCCTTGTGCTTGCCAAGCCTTGAAGAGATTCCTGAGCTGTCCCTCGTTACTGGACAGGAGTCCTGACGTCACTGAATAAACACGAGTTTTGAAGGGCCATCCCCGCCGTAACCCGAGTACATACCCCAGGTCCCCGCCGCAAGTCGAGAAAAACCATGAGACTTTCCCCTAGTGGCGAGATGAGGCCCGATTCTCCTGCAGTGCATGCAGAGCAATTCCGTGATCCCCATCAAACAAGTCAGGACATTCGACTTGCTTAATGGATCTCGAGACAGTCCCCAAGAATACTGTCACATGTCTAGACGGATCCTGAGGTCACCCCATCAATGCAAAGCAGCACCATGTGCCCCACATCAACTCGAGATAATGCCCGATTCCCCTGCATTGACTCCAGAGCCATGCCCCGTTCCACATTAAACACCACCAGTGGCTTGACTTCCTTCAGACAACTCCAGAGATGCCCTGAGAACACTGTCCCAAGTCTAGAGGAACACCATCTTCAGCACAGCAACTCGAGGAATGCTCCGTGTACCCCAAATCATCTCGAGATGAGAGCTGATTCCCTGGCTTAGGCTCAAGACGTATGCCAACTTTCCAGAAGCACCTCAAGGGGAGGCTTCTCTCAGCAATAGGTATGTTGGAGGGACCCCCAGTTTGCTGCCTCAAGTGGAATATGCAGCGAGAAGCCCTAACTTGAAAGGAGGCCGGGTTTCCTTGCAGTGTCTTGAATACAGGCTCGTCTTTCATCTCACAACCGGAAGGAATGTCTGAATCCCCTGTGGAGACCTTAGCGAAAGCCCTAGGTCCCTGCCTCATTTTGACGGATTGCCTCACATCCCGTTGACACCTCGAGAGGCACACGGATTTCACTGCTTCAAATGTGACGATGCCTGACTCCTCCTGAACATTGATAGGAATCCCAAAATCACTGTGGCTACAGGAAAGGGTTCTTGTGTGCCCTGCCTCACCTCGAGAAGCATCCCTTTTACCCTGCCAAGGCTCGAAGAGATTCCTGAGCTGTCCCTCGTTACTGGACAGGAGTCCTGACGTCACTGAATAAACACGAGTTTTTAAGGGCCATCCCCGCCGTAACCCGAGTACATACCCCAGGTCCCCGTCGCAAGTCGAGAAAAACCATGAGACTTTCCCCTCGTGGCGAGATGAGGCCCGATTCTCCTGCAGTGCATGCAGAGCAATTCCGTGATCCCCATCAAACAAGTCAGGACCTTCGACTTGCTTAATGGATCTCGAGACAGTCCCCAAAAATACTGTCACATGTCTAGATGGATCCTGCGGTCACCCCATCAACGCAAAGCAGCACCATGTGCCCCACATCAACTCGAGATAATGCCCGATTCCCCTGCATTGACTCCAGAGCCATCCCCCGTTCCACATTAAACACCACCAGTGGCTTGACTTCCTTCAGACAACTCCAGAGATGCCCTGAGAACACTGTCCCAAGTCTAGAGGAACACCATCTTCAGCACAGCAACTCGAGGAATACTCCGTGTACCCCAAATCGTCTCGAGATGAGAGCTGATTCCCTGGCTTAGGCTCAAGACGTATGCCAACTTTCCAGAAGCACCTCTAGGGGAGGCTTATCTCAGCAATAGGTATGTTGGAGGGACCCCCAGTTTGCTGCCTCAAGTGGAATATGCAGCGAGAAGCCCTAACTTGAAAGGATCCCGGGTTTCCTTGCAGTGTCTTGAATACAGGCTCGTCTTTCATCTCACAACCGGAAGGAATGTCTGATTCCCCTGTGGAGACCTTATCGAAAGCCCTAGGTCCCTGCCTCATTTTGACGGATTGCCTCACATCACGTTGACACCTCGAGAGGCACACGGAGTTCACTGCTTCAAATGTGACGATGCCTGACTCCTCCTGAACATTGATAGGAATCCCAAAATCACTGTGGCTACAGGAAAGGGTTCTTGGGTGCCCTGCCTCACCTCGAGAAGCATCCCTTTTGCCCTGCCAAGGCTCGAAGAGATTCCTGAGGTGTCCCTCATTACTAGACAGGAGTCATGACGTCACTGAATAAACACGTGTTTTCAAGGGCCATGCCCGCCATAACTCGAGAACATACCCCAGGTCCCGCCGCAACTCGAGAAAAACCATGAGGCTTCCCCTAGATGCGATATGAGGCCTGATTCCCTGCAGTCCATGCAGAGCATTCCCGTGATCCCAATAAAGCAAGTCAGCAGCTTCGAATTGCTTAAAGGATCTCGAGAGAGTCCCCAGGAACACTGTCACAAGTCTAGACAGAACCTGACATCACCCCAGCAACGCAAAGCAGCTCCAAGTTCCCCACATCAACTCGAGTTGAGGCCCGATTCCCATGCATTGACTCCAGAGCCATCCCCCGTACCCCATTAAACACCACCAGTGGCTTGACTTCCTTCAGGCAACTCCAGAGATGCCCCGAGAACACTGTCCCAAGTCTAGAGCAATACAAACTTCAGAACAGCAACTCGAGGAATTTCCCGTGTACCTCAAATCGTTTCGAGGTGAGAGCTGATTCCATGGCTTAGGCTCAAGACGTATGCCAACTTTCCAGAAGCCCCTCAAGAGGAGGCTTCTCTCAGCAATAGGTATGTGGGAGGGACCCCGAGTTTGCTGCCTCAAGTGGAATATACAGCGAGAAGCCCTAACTGGAAAGGAGGACGGATTTCCTTGCAATGGCTTGAATACAGGCTCGTCTTTCATCTCACAGCATGAAGGGATGTCTGAATCCCCTGTGGAGACCTTAGAGAAAGCTCTAGGTACCTGCCTCATTTTGACGGAATGCCTCACATCCCGTTGACACTTCGAGAGGCACGCGGAGTTCACTGCTTCAAAAGTTGACGATGCCTGACTCCTCTTGAATATTGATAAGAATCCCAAAATCCCTGTGGCTATTGGAAAGGTTCCTTGGGTGCCCTGCCTCACCTCGAGAAGCGTCCCTTGTGCACTGCCAAGCCTCGAAGAGATTCCTGAGCTGTCCTTCGTTACTGGACAGGAGTCCTGACGTCACTGAATAAACACGAGTTTTGAAGGGCCATCCCCGCCGTAACCCGAGTACATACCCCAGGTCCCCGCCGCAAGTCGAGATAAAGCATGAGACTTTCCCCTAGAGGCGAGATGAGGCCCGATTCTCCTGCAGTGCATGCAGAGCAATTCCGTGATCCCCATCAAACAAGTCAGGACTTTCGACTTGCTTAATGCATCTCGAGACAGTCCCCAAGAATACTGTCACATGTCTAGACGGATCCTGAGGTCACCCCATCAACGCAAAGCAGCACAATGTGCCCCAAATCAACTCTGGATGATGCCAGATCCCCCTGCATTGACTCCAGAGCCATCCCCCGTTCCCCATTAAACACGACCAGTGGCTTGACTTCCTTCAGGCAACTCCAGAGATGCCCCGAGAACACTGTCCCAAGTCTAGAGGAACACCAACTTCAGCACAGCAACTCGAGGAATGTTCCGTGTACCCCAAATCGTCTCGAGATGAGAGCTGATTCCCTGGCTTAGGTTCAAGACGTATGCCAACTTTCCAGAAGCACCTCAAGCGGAGGATTCTCTCAGCAATAGGTATGTTGGAGGGTCCCCCACTTTGCTGCCTCAAGTGGAATATACAGCGAGAAGCCCTAACTAGAAAGGAGGCCGGATTTCCTTTCAGTGTCTTGAATACAGGCTCGTCTTTCATCTCACAAACGGAAGGGGTGTCTGAATCCCCTGTGGAGAACTTAGAGAAAGCCCTAGGTCCCTGCCTCATTTTGACGGATTGCCTCACATCCCGTTGACACCTCGAGAGGCACGCGGAGTTCACTGCTTCAAAAGGTGATGATGCCTGACTCGTCTTGAATATTGATAGGAATCCCAAAATCCCTGTGGCTATTGGAAAGGTTCCTTGGGTGCCCTGCCTCACCTCGAGAAGCGTCCCTTGTGCTTGCCAAGCCTTGAAGAGATTCCTGAGCTGTCCCTCGTTACTGGACAGGAGTCCTGACGTCACTGAATAAACACGAGTTTTGAAGGGCCATCCCCGCCGTAACCCGAGTACATACCCCAGGTCCCCGCCGCAAGTCGAGAAAAACCATGAGACTTTCCCCTAGTGGCGAGATGAGGCCCGATTCTCCTGCAGTGCATGCAGAGCAATTCCGTGATCCCCATCAAACAAGTCAGGACATTCGACTTGCTTAATGGATCTCGAGACAGTCCCCAAGAATACTGTCACATGTCTAGACGGATCCTGAGGTCACCCCATCAATGCAAAGCAGCACCATGTGCCCCACATCAACTCGAGATAATGCCCGATTCCCCTGCATTGACTCCAGAGCCATGCCCCGTTCCACATTAAACACCACCAGTGGCTTGACTTCCTTCAGACAACTCCAGAGATGCCCTGAGAACACTGTCCCAAGTCTAGAGGAACACCATCTTCAGCACAGCAACTCGAGGAATGCTCCGTGTACCCCAAATCATCTCGAGATGAGAGCTGATTCCCTGGCTTAGGCTCAAGACGTATGCCAACTTTCCAGAAGCACCTCAAGGGGAGGCTTCTCTCAGCAATAGGTATGTTGGAGGGACCCCCAGTTTGCTGCCTCAAGTGGAATATGCAGCGAGAAGCCCTAACTTGAAAGGAGGCCGGGTTTCCTTGCAGTGTCTTGAATACAGGCTCGTCTTTCATCTCACAACCGGAAGGAATGTCTGAATCCCCTGTGGAGACCTTAGCGAAAGCCCTAGGTCCCTGCCTCATTTTGACGGATTGCCTCACATCCCGTTGACACCTCGAGAGGCACACGGATTTCACTGCTTCAAATGTGACGATGCCTGACTCCTCCTGAACATTGATAGGAATCCCAAAATCACTGTGGCTACAGGAAAGGGTTCTGGTGTGCCCTGCCTCACCTCGAGAAGCATCCCTTTTACCCTGCCAAGGCTCGAAGAGATTCCTGAGCTGTCCCTCGTTACTGGACAGGAGTCCTGACGTCACTGAATAAACACGAGTTTTTAAGGGCCATCCCCGCCGTAACCCGAGTACATACCCCAGGTCCCCGTCGCAAGTCGAGAAAAACCATGAGACTTTCCCCTCGTGGCGAGATGAGGCCCGATTCTCCTGCAGTGCATGCAGAGCAATTCCGTGATCCCCATCAAACAAGTCAGGACCTTCGACTTGCTTAATGGATCTCGAGACAGTCCCCAAAAATACTGTCACATGTCTAGATGGATCCTGCGGTCACCCCATCAACGCAAAGCAGCACCATGTGCCCCACATCAACTCGAGATAATGCCCGATTCCCCTGCATTGACTCCAGAGCCATCCCCCGTTCCACATTAAACACCACCAGTGGCTTGACTTCCTTCAGACAACTCCAGAGATGCCCTGAGAACACTGTCCCAAGTCTAGAGGAACACCATCTTCAGCACAGCAACTCGAGGAATACTCCGTGTACCCCAAATCGTCTCGAGATGAGAGCTGATTCCCTGGCTTAGGCTCAAGACGTATGCCAACTTTCCAGAAGCACCTCTAGGGGAGGCTTATCTCAGCAATAGGTATGTTGGAGGGACCCCCAGTTTGCTGCCTCAAGTGGAATATGCAGCGAGAAGCCCTAACTTGAAAGGATCCCGGGTTTCCTTGCAGTGTCTTGAATACAGGCTCGTCTTTCATCTCACAACCGGAAGGAATGTCTGAATCCCCTGTGGAGACCTTAGCGAAAGCCCTAGGTTCCTGCCTCATTTTGACGGATTGCCTCACATCACGTTGACACCTCGAGAGGCACACGGAGTTCACTGCTTCAAATGTGACGATGCCTGACTCCTCCTGAACATTGATAGGAATCCCAAAATCACTGTGGCTACAGGAAAGGGTTCTTGGGTGCCCTGCCTCACCTCGAGAAGCATCCCTTTTGCCCTGCCAAGGCTCGAAGAAATTCCTGAGGTGTCCCTCATTACTAGACAGGAGTCATGACGTCACTGAATAAACACGTGTTTTCAAGGGCCATGCCCGCCATAACTCGAGAACATACCCCAGGTCCCGCCGCAACTCGAGAAAAACCATGAGGCTTCCCCTAGATGCGATATGAGGCCTGATTCCCTGCAGTCCATGCAGAGCATTCCCGTGATCCCAATCAAGCAAGTCAGCAGCTTCGAATTGCTTAAAGGATCTCGAGAGAGTCCCCAGGAACACTGTCACAAGTCTAGACAGAACCTGACATCACCCCAGCAACGCAAAGCAGCTCCAAGTACCCCACATCAACTCGAGTTGAGGCCCAATTCCCATGCATTGACTCCAGAGCCATCCCCCGTACCCCATTAAACACCACCAGTGGCTTGACTTCCTTCAGGCAACTCCAGAGATGCCCCGAGAACACTGTCCCAAGTCTAGAGCAATACGAACTTCAGAACAGCAACTCGAGGAATTTCCCGTGTACCTCAAATCGTTTCGAGGTGAGAGCTGATTCCATGGCTTAGGCTCAAGACGTATGCCAACTTTCCAGAAGCCCCTCAAGAGGAGGCTTCTCTCAGCAATAGGTATGTGGGAGGGACCCCGAGTTTGCTGCCTCAAGTGGAATATACAGCGAGAAGCCCTAACTGGAAAGGAGGACGGATTTCCTTGCAATGGCTTGAATACAGGCTCGTCTTTCATCTCACAGCATGAAGGGATGTCTGAATCCCCTGTGGAGACCTTAGAGAAAGCTCTAGGTACCTGCCTCATTTTGACGGAATGCCTCACATCCCGTTGACACTTCGAGAGGCACGCGGAGTTCACTGCTTCAAAAGTTGACGATGCCTGACTCCTCTTGAATATTGATAAGAATCCCAAAATCCCTGTGGCTATTGGAAAGGTTCCTTGGGTGCCCTGCCTCACATCGAGAAGCGTCCCTTGTGCACTGCCAAGCCTCGAAGAGATTCCTGAGCTGTCCCTCGTTACTGGACAGGAGTCCTGACGTCACTGAATAAACACGAGTTTTGAAGGGCCATCCCCGCCATAACCCGAGTACATACCCCAGGTCCCCGCCGCAAGTCGAGATAAAGCATGAGACTTTCCCCTAGAGGCGAGATGAGGCCCGATTCTCCTGCAGTGCATGCAGAGCAATTCCGTGATCCCCATCAAACAAGTCAGGACTTTCGACTTGCTTAATGCATCTCGAGACAGTCCCCAAGAATACTGTCACATGTCTAGACGGATCCTGAGGTCACCCCATCAACGCAAAGCAGCACAATGTGCCCCAAATCAACTCTGGATGATGCCAGATCCCCCTGCATTGACTCCAGAGCCATCCCCCGTTACCCATTAAACACGACCAGTGGCTTGACTTCCTTCAGGCAACTCCAGAGATGCCCCGAGAACACTGTCCCAAGTCTAGAGGAACACCAACTTCAGCACAGCAACTCGAGGAATGTTCCGTGTACCCCAAATCGTCTCGAGATGAGAGCTGATTCCCTGGCTTAGGTTCAAGACGTATGCCAACTTTCCAGAAGCACCTCAAGCGGAGGATTCTCTCAGCAATAGGTATGTTGGAGGGTCCCCCACTTTGCTGCCTCAAGTGGAATATACAGCGAGAAGCCCTAACTAGAAAGGAGGCCGGATTTCCTTTCAGTGTCTTGAATACAGGCTCGTCTTTCATCTCACAAACGGAAGGGGTGTCTGAATCCCCTGTGGAGAACTTAGAGAAAGCCCTAGGTCCCTGCCTCATTTTGACGGATTGCCTCACATCCCGTTGACACCTCGAGAGGCACGCGGAGTTCACTGCTTCAAAAGGTGATGATGCCTGACTCGTCTTGAATATTGATAGGAATCTCAAAATCCCTGGGGCTATTGGAAAGGTTCCTTGGGTGCCCTGCCTCACCTCGAGAAGCGTCCCTTGTGCTTGCCAAGCCTTGAAGAGATTCCTGAGCTGTCCCTCGTTACTGGACAGGAGTCCTGACGTCACTGAATAAACACGAGTTTTGAAGGGCCATCCCCGCCGTAACCCGAGTACATACCCCAGGTCCCCGCCGCAAGTCGAGAAAAACCATGAGACTTTCCCCTAGTGGCGAGATGAGGCCCGATTCTCCTGCAGTGCATGCAGAGCAATTCCGTGATCCCCATCAAACAAGTCAGGACATTCGACTTGCTTAATGGATCTCGAGACAGTCCCCAAGAATACTGTCACATGTCTAGACGGATCCTGAGGTCACCCCATCAATGCAAAGCAGCACCATGTGCCCCACATCAACTCGAGATAATGCCCGATTCCCCTGCATTGACTCCAGAGCCATGCCCCGTTCCACATTAAACACCACCAGTGGCTTGACTTCCTTCAGACAACTCCAGAGATGCCCTGAGAACACTGTCCCAAGTCTAGAGGAACACCATTTTCAGCACAGCAACTCGAGGAATACTCCGTGTACCCCAAATCGTCTCGAGATGAGAGCTGATTCCCTGGCTTAGGCTCAAGACGTATGCCAACTTTCCAGAAGCACCTCTAGGGGAGGCTTATCTCAGCAATAGGTATGTTGGAGGGACCCCCAGTTTGCTGCCTCAAGTGGAATATGCAGCGAGAAGCCCTAACTTGAAAGGATCCCGGGTTTCCTTGCAGTGTCTTGAATACAGGCTCGTCTTTCATCTCACAACCTGAAGGAATGTCTGATTCCCCTGTGGAGACCTTAGCGAAAGCCCTAGGTCCCTGCATCATTTTGACGGATTGCCTCACATCACGTTGACACCTCGAGAGGCACACGGAGTTCACTGCTTCAAATGTGACGATGCCTGACTCCTCCTGAACATTGATAGGAATCCCAAAATCACTGTGGCTACAGGAAAGGGTTCTTGGGTGCCCTGCCTCACCTCGAGAAGCATCCCTTTTGCCCTGCCAAGGCTCGAAGAGATTCCTGAGGTGTCCCTCATTACTAGACAGGAGTCATGACGTCACTGAATAAACACGTGTTTTCAAGGGCCATGCCCGCCATAACTCGAGAACATACCCCAGGTCCCGCCGCAACTCGAGAAAAACCATGAGACTTCCCCTAGATGCGATATGAGGCCTGATTCCCTGCAGTCCATGCAGAGCATTCCCGTGATCCCAATCAAGCAAGTCAGCAGCTTCGAATTGCTTAATGGATCTCGAGAGAGTCCCCAGGAACACTGTCACAAGTCTAGACAGACCCTGATATCACCCCAGCAAAGCAAAGCAGGTCCAAGTACCCCACATCACCTCGAGTTGAGGCACGATTCCCATGCATTGACTCCAGAGCCATCCCCCGTACCCCATTAAACACCACCAGTGGCTTGACTTCCTTCAGGCAACTCCAGAAATGCCCCGAGAACACTGTACCAAGTCTAGAGGAATACGAACTTCAGCACAGCAACTCGAGGAATGCTCCGTGTACCCCAAATCGTTTATAGGTGAGAGCTGATTCCATGGCTTACGCTCAAGACGTAGGCCAACTTTCCAGAAGCCCCTCAAGAAGAGGCTTCTCTCAGCAATAGGTATGTGGGAGGGACCCCGAGTTTGCTGCCTCAAGTGGAATATACAGCGAGAAGCCCTAACTTGAAAGGAGGCCGGATTTCCTTGCAGTGGCTTGAATACAGGCTCGTCTTTCATCTCACAGCTTGAAGGGATGTCTGAAGCCCCTGTGGAGACCTTAGAGAAAGCTCTAGGTCCCTGCCTCATTTTGACGGAATGCCTCACATCCCGTTGACACTTCGAGAGGCACGCGGAATTCACTGCTTCAAAAGGTGATGATGCCTCACTCGTCTTGAATATTGATAGGAATCCCAAAATCACTGTGGCTACAGGAAAGGATTCTTGCGTGCCCTGCCTCACCTCGAGAAGCATCCATTTTGCCTTGCCAAGCCTCGAAGAGATTCCTGAGGTGTCCCTCGTTACTAGACAGGAGTCCTGACGTCACTGAATAAACACGTGTTTTGAAGGCCCATCCCCGCCCTAAGTCGAGAACATACCCCAGGTCCGGCCGCAACTCGAGCAAAACGATGAGACTTCCCCTAGATGCGAGATGAGGTCTGATTCCCTGCAGTCCATGCAGAGCAGTCCCGTGATCCCCATCAAGCAACTCAGGAGCTTTGACTTGCTTAATGGATCTCCAGAGAGTCCCCAGGAACACTGTCACAAGTCTAGACAGACCCTGAGGTCACCCCAGCAATGCAAAGCAGCTCCAAGTGGCCCACATCAACTCGAGATGAGGCCCGATTCTCCGGCATTGACTCCAGAGCCATCCCCCGTACCCCATTAAGCACCACCAGAGGCTTGAATTCCTTCCGGCAACTCCAGAGATGCTCCGAGAACACTGTCCCAAGTCTAGAGGAATACGAACTTCAGCAAAGCAACTCGAGGAATGCTCCGTGTACCCCAAATCGTTTCGAGGTGAGAGCTGATTCCATGGCTTAGGCTCAAGACGTATGCCAACTTTCCAGAAGCACCTCAAGAGGAGGCTTCTCTCAGCAATAGGTATGTGGGAGGGACCCTGAGTTTGCTGCCTCAAGTGGAATATACAGCGAGAAGCCCTAACTTGAAACGAGGACGGATTTCCTTGCAGTGGCTTGAATACAGGCTCGTCTTTCATCTCACAGCATGAAGGGCTGTCTGAAGCCCCTGTGGAGACCTTAGAGAAAGCTCTAGGTCCCTGCCTCATTTTGACGGAATGCCTCACATCCCGTTTACACTTCGAGAGGCACGCGGAGGTCACTGCTTCAAAAGGTGATGATGCCTCACTCGTCTTGAATATTGATAGGAATCCCAAAATCACTGTGGCTACAGGAAAGGATTCTTTTGTGCCCTGCCTCACCTCGAGAAGCATCCGTTTTGCCCTGCCAAGCCTCGAAGAGATTCCTGAGGTGTCCCTCGTTACTAGGCAGGTGTCCTGACGGCACAGAATAAACACGTGTTTTCAAGGGCCATCCCCGCCGTAACTCGAGAAGATACCCCAGGTCCCCAGCGCAACTTGAGAGAAACCATGAGACTTCCCCTTAGATGCGAGATGAGTCCTGATTCCCTGCAGTGCATGCAGAGTATACCCGTGATCACCATCAAACAAGTCAGGAGCTTCGACTTGCTTAATGGATCTCGAGACAGTCCCCAAGAACACTGTCACAAGTCTAGACGGACCCTGAGGTCACCCCAGCAACGCAAAGCAGCTCCATGTGCCCCAAATAAACCCGAGATGTGGCCCGATTCCCCTGCATTGACTCCAGAGCCATCCCCAGTTCCCTATTAAACAAGACCACTGGCTTGTCTTCCTTCAGGCAACTCCAGAGATGCCCCGAGAACACTGTCCCAAGACTAGAGGAACACCAAATCCAGCACAGCAACTCGAGGAATGCCCCGTGTACCACAAATCGTCTCGAGATGAGAGCTGATTCCCTGGCTTAGGCTCAAGACGTATGCCAACTTTCCAGAAGCACCTCAAGAGGAGGCTTCTCTCAGCAAACGGTATTTGGGAGGGACCCCGAGTTTGCTGCCTCAAGTGGAATATACAGCGAGAAGCCCTAACTTGAAAGGAGGCCGGATTTCCTTGCAGTGTCTCGTATACAGGCTCGTCTTTCATCTCACAACAGGAAGGGATGTCTGCATCCCCTGTGAAGACCTTAGAGAAAGCCATAGGTCCCTGCCTCATTGTGACGGAATGCCTCACATCCCGTTGACACCACGAGAGGCATGCGGAGTTCAGTGCTTCAAAAGGTGACGATGCCTGACTCCTCTTGAATATTGATACGAATCCCAAAATCACTGTGGCTATTGGAACGGTTCCTTGGGTGCCCTGCCTCATCTCGAGAAGCGTCCCTTGTGCCCCGGCAAGCCTCGAAGAGATTCCTGAGCTGTCCCTCGTTACTGGACAAGAGTCCTGACGTCACTGAATAAACACGTGTTTTGAAGGGCCATCGCCGCCGTAACTCAAGAACATATCCCAGGTCCCCGCCGCAACTCGAGAAAAACCATGAAACTTTCCCCTAGAGGCGAGATGAGGCCCGATTCTCCTGCAGTGCATGCAGAGCAATTCCGTGATCCCCATCCAACAAGTCAGGAACTTCGACTTGCTTAATGGATCTCGAGACATTCCCCAAGAACACTGTCACATGTCTAGACGGACCCTGAGGTATCCCCAGCAACGCAAAGCAGCTCCATATGCCCCAAATCAACTTGAGATGACGTCCAATTCCCCTGTATTGACTCCAGAGCCATCTGCCGTTCCGCATTAAACACCACCAGTGGCTTGACCTCCTTCAGACAACTCCAGAGATGCCCCGAGAACACTGTCCCTAGTCTAGAGGAACACCTACTTTAGCACAGCAACTCGAGGAATGCTTCCTGTATGCCAAATCTTCTCGAGATGAGAGCTGATTCCCTGGCTTAGGCTCAAGACGTATGCCAACTTTCCAGAAGCACCTCAAGAGGAGGCTTCTCTCAGCAATAGGTATGTGGGAGGGAACCCGAGTTTGCTGCCTCAAATGGAATATGCAGCGAGAAGCCCTAACTTGAAAGGAGGCCGGGTTTCCTTGCAGTGTCTTGAATACAGGCTCGTCTTTCATCTCACAACCGGAAGGAATGTCTGAATCCCCTGTGGAGACCTTAGCGAAAGCCCTAGGTCCCTGCCTCATTTTGACGGATTGCCTCACATCCCGTTGACACCTCGAGAGGCACACGGAGTTCACTGCTTCAAATGTGACGATGCCTGACTCCTCCTGAACATTGATAGGAATCCCAAAATCACTGTGGCTACAGGAAAGGGTTCTTGTGTGCCCTGCCTCACCTCGAGAAGCATCCCTTTTGCCCTGCCAAGGCTCGAAGAGATTCCTGAGGTGTCCCTCATTACTAGACAGGAGTCATGACGTCACTGAATAAACACGTGTTTTAAGGGCCAAGCCCGCCATAACTCGAGAACATACCCCACGTACCGCCGCGACTCGAGAAAAACCATGAGACTTCCCCTAGATGCGATATGAGGCCTGATTCCCTGCGTTCCATGCAGAGCATTCCCGTGATCCCAATCAAGCAAGTCAGCAGCTTCGAACTGCTTAATGGATCTCGAGAGAGTCCCCAGGAACACTGTCACAAGTCTAGACAGACCCTGACATCACCCCAGCAAAGCAAAGCAGGTCCAAGTACCCCACATCACCTCGAGTTGAGGCACGATTCCCATGCATTGACTCCAGAGCCATCCCCCGTACCCCATTAAACACCACCAGTGGCTTGACTTCCTTCAGGCAACTCCAGAAATGCTCCGAGAACACTGTACCAAGGCTAGAGGAATACGAACTTCAGCACAGCAACTCGAGGAATGCTCCGTGTACCCCAAATCGTTTCGAGGTGAGAGCTGATTCCATGGCTTACGCTCAAGACGTAGGCCAACTTTCCAGAAGCCCCTCAAGAGGAGGCTTCTCTCAGCAATAGGTATGTGGGAGGGACCCCGAGTTTGCTGCCTCAAGTGGAATATACAGCGAGAAGCCCTAACTTGAAAGGAGGCCGGATTTCCTTGCAGTGGCTTGAATACAGGCTCGTCTTTCATCTCACAGCATGAAGGGATGTCTGAAGCCCCTGTGGAGACCTTAGAGAAAGCTCTAGGTCCCTGCCTCATTTTGACGGAATGCCTCACATCCCGTTGACACTTCGAGAGGCACGCGGAATTCACTGCTTCAAAAGGTGATGATGCCTCACTCGTCTTGAATATTGATAGGAATCCCAAAATCACTGTGGCTACAGGAAAGGATTCTTGCGTGCCCTGCCTCACCTCGAGAAGCATCCATTTTGCCTTGCCAAGCCTCGAAGAGATTCCTGAGGTGTCCCTCGTTACTAGACAGGAGTCCTGACGTCACTGAATAAACACGTGTTTTGAAGGCCCATCCCCGCCATAAGTCGAGAACATACCCCAGGTCCGGCCGCAACTCGAGCAAAACGATGAGACTTCCCCTAGATGCAAGATGAGGTCTGATTCCCTGCAGTCCATGCAGAGCAGTCCCGTGATCCCCATCAAGCAACTCAGGAGCTTCGACTTGCTTAATGGATCTCCAGAGAGTCCCCAGGAACACTGTCACAAGTCTAGACAGACCCTGAGGTCACCCCAGCAATGCAAAGCAGCTCCAAGTGGCCCACATCAACTCGAGATGAGGCCCGATTCTCCGGCATTGACTCCAGAGCCATCCCCCGTACCCCATTAAGCACCACCAGAGGCTTGAATTCCTTCCGGCAACTCCAGAGATGCTCCGAGAACACTGTCCCAAGTCTAGAGGAATACGAACTTCAGCAAAGCAACTCGAGGAATGCTCCGTGTACCCCAAATCGTTTCGAGGTGAGAGCTGATTCCATGGCTTAGGCTCAAGACGTATGCCAACTTTCCAGAAGCACCTCAAGAGGAGGCTTCTCTCAGCAATAGGTATGTGGGAGGGACCCTGAGTTTGCTGCCTCAAGTGGAATATACAGCGAGAAGCCCTAACTTGAAACGAGGATGGATTTCCTTGCAGTGGCTTGAATACAGGCTCGTCTTTCATCTCACAGCATGAAGGGATGTCTGAAGCCCCTGTGGAGACCTTAGAGAAAGCTCTAGGTCCCTGCCTCATTTTGACGGAATGCCTCACATCCCGTTTACACTTCGAGAGGCACGCGGAGGTCACTGCTTCAAAAGGTGATGATGCCTCACTCGTCTTGAATATTGATAGGAATCCCAAAATCACTGTGGCTACAGGAAAGGATTCTTTTGTGCCCTGCCTCACCTCGAGAAGCATCCGTTTTGCCCTGCCAAGCCTCGAAGAGATTCCTGAGGTGTCCCTCGTTACTAGGCAGGTGTCCTGACGGCACAGAATAAACACGTGTTTTCAAGGGCCATCCCCGCCGTAACTCGAGAAGACACCCCAGGTCCCCAGCGCAACTTGAGAGAAACCATGAGACTTCCCCTTAGATGCGAGATGAGTCCTGATTCCCTGCAGTGCATGCAGAGTATACCCGTGATCACCATCAAACAAGTCAGGAGCTTCGACTTGCTTAATGGATCTCGAGACAGTCCCCAAGAACACTGTCACAAGTCTAGACGGACCCTGAGGTCACCCCAGCAACGCAAAGCAGCTCCATGTGCCCCAAATAAACCCGAGATGTGGCCCGATTCCCCTGCATTGACTCCAGAGCCATCCCCAGTTCCCTATTAAACAAGACCACTGGCTTGTCTTCCTTCAGGCAACTCCAGAGATGCCCCGAGAACACTGTCCCAAGACTAGAGGAACACCAAATCCAGCACAGCAACTCGAGGAATGCCCCGTGTACCACAAATCGTCTCGAGATGAGAGCTGATTCCCTGGCTTAGGCTCAAGACGTATGCCAACTTTCCAGAAGCACCTCAAGAGGAGGCTTCTCTCAGCAATCGGTATGTGGGAGGGACCCCGAGTTTGCTGCCTCAAGTGGAATATACAGCGAGAAGCCCTAACTTGAAAGGAGGCCGGATTTCCTTGCAGTGTCTCGTATACAGGCTCGTCTTTCATCTCACAACAGGAAGGGATGTCTGCATCCCCTGTGAAGACCTTAGAGAAAGCCATAGGTCCCTGCCTCATTGTGACGGAATGCCTCACATCCCGTTGACACCACGAGAGGCATGCGGAGTTCAGTGCTTCAAAAGGTGACGATGCCTGACTCCTCTTGAATATTGATACGAATCCCAAAATCACTGTGGCTATTGGAACGGTTCCTTGGGTGCCCTGCCTCATCTCGAGAAGCGTCCCTTGTGCCCCGGCAAGCCTCGAAGAGATTCCTGAGCTGTCCCTCGTTACTGGACAAGAGTCCTGACGTCACTGAATAAACACGTGTTTTGAAGGGCCATCGCCGCCGTAACTCAAGAACATATCCCAGGTCCCCGCCGCAACTCGAGAAAAACCATGAAACTTTC